CCCCCCCATCACCACCACCACCCCACTCCACCCCCAGGGGTCAATTGTCCCAAGGTGAAGGTGCACTCCCGATCCCGTCGTCCATCACCCACCTCCCCAGAAAAAGAAAAAAAAGACGTTGGATCGAGATCTGATGATTTTTAATGGATCCTGAGTTTCTGGAAGTGCTCTTATATGAAGGATCTTTACAGCAGTTAGAACAAGTTCATCTCTGGAAAATAACTGGGAAGTAGTTTAAATTTCTTGTAGGAGGGAATGTGGAAATGGAAGAATTTTCAAGAATGAGTTGTATAAGAACAGAGGTAGTTGGGCAGACCTTGTCCTTGACATTGGCTTCTTAAGCTAAACAAACACTTGGGCAGGGGTTGAATACAGTATTTGTGCAGTATTTGGAAATGTTCTGTGGTGCAGCTGAAGGGCTACCGTTGGCAGCGGGGGCCAGCGCCACTGGGCTCTTCACGTTGACGTGTCAGAATCACAGCACCAAACCAGGTGTCCTGACACAGGTTAAACCCCCATTCCCTCACTGATTACTGTGTTCAGTTCGGAGGACGGATTCTGCCCAAGATATATAATAATACCCATTAATATGGTGATAGTGGACTGGAAGATGTAACTTTACAGAGGAAAGGTTTAATCCCAATGAGGAATGCATCTGTTGATTTTGATTTGAGTTCAGATTGAATTCCTACACTTGAATTGATGTCATCAGGTTTATCTCACTAGATCTTAGTGTAATGTTTGTACGCAGGGCTGAATTTAGGGGGGATAGGGGCCTCTGGGCCCTCCCTAAAATGCTGCTATAACAGGCAGAAATAGAAATTGAGGCCCCCTACATTTTGGGGGCTCTGGGTTACAGCCCGGGTTAGCCGTGCTTAACTCGGGTCTTGTTTATGGGCTAACATGTAAGTTTCCGCGGCAAGGTAATGGTGATACTCATGAAAGAGCAGATCGAGTTCTGTGGATGCACGAGGCCCAGAGCTAAACAGAAAACCCAGTAAAATGCTGAATGTTTGGTTGCAATTCCTACATGCTTCAATAATGAAAAAAACCCTTTTATATCAAGACTGCGGAATAATCACTTACAGTCCCTCTCTTGTAGATTTCCTTTTTTAATACTTACATGCACATGGTAAGATTAGAGGCACAATTTAATTTATCACCCCGTACAAAACCATCTGGCTTTTCATTGTGGCACTCGTAAAAGTAAATAAAACCCTGTTTGTGACGTGCAAAACAAACGTTGAAGTTACTCCACAGCATAAAAGTAAATTTCCTGTGAAAGTGCCCCATTTTTTTCATCATGACATTCAACCACAGGAATATGGGGCGAAATATCAGCAGAGTTCCGTTTCCTGTTGGATCCGGTTATTCCATGGAAAATTGATAACTTTGAAAGGAGCAGGGCGGGGGCTGTTTAAATGGCCGGAGGGTTAGTCAGCAAGATTAAATACGGGAGCCATATATTTTACAGCATGCCGTTGTCATGGTTAGCACTGTTGCCTCACACCTCTGGGACCCCAGTTCGAGTAACTCTGGTTTCTCCCCACAGTCCAAAGAACATGCTAAGATAAACTAGAATTTCCAAATTGCCCATAGGTGTACATGTAGGACTGCGCTCTGCCATGGGTTGGCACACCATCCTGGGTTGTTCCCTGCCTTGTGCCCGTAGCCTCCAGGATAGGCCCAAGACTCCCAAGACCCTGTATAGGACAAGCAGGTACAGAAAACTGATGGATGGATGTATTACCACCCATACATTAAAGTCTTTCCTAAGATCTAAGTCTTCTTACCAACCTCTTCCATAGTGAAATATTCAGTGATTTACTGGCATTTTGATATAAAAAACATTATGCAATGTTCAAGTGACCTTATCTATGCTCTCAGAATTTGATAGACTTGCTTTACTTTTTCCATGTAATCAATTTTTAAATAGTGAAAACAAACAGAAAAGAGCTAGCCAAGGACTCGGAGGTGCAGTTAGCCAACGGTAGCTGCTGGTTAATGAGGCTATGGGACAAGGCCCTGCCTTTGTACTAATCTGTATCTATCACTCTATTGTTAGGACTGCTCAGAAATCGCAGGAAACGGCTGAAGCGCCATGGCTGCTCACTCAGCAGAAACATGTAGGCTGCTGCTACTTCAGAATCAGGCCACCTGTTGCCAAGCAAGCTCGCCATTCTCTGATGCTTAACATGTTCCGCTTCTCACACAGTTAGAGATCTTCAGAGCTCCCCCGCCAAACAAAATCATTAGTACCCATTTAGGTTGGCTCAGTGGGTACCACACTTGCCCCTCACATTCAGGCTTCGGTGGTTTCAGTCCCATGTTTCATGAGTTTACTGCCGGTCCTTCTGCAGTCCATAGATATGAGGTTAGTCTGGACAACTTCTCTTAAGTGTCCAAAGTGTCGGAGCATGTATGCCCTGTGATGGACATGCATCCTGGGTGTGGCCCTGCCTTCCACCCCATGTTGCCGCAGTAGACTCCAGGCCTCCTGGGACCTGGCCCACAGAAGATGGATGCATAATACGCGCTTAACTGTAGAGAAACACATCAAATATTGTAACATAATTCCTGGACTGTCTGTTCAGATGGTCATCGCCATTATTACAACAGAGAAGCTCAGATCCTCAGGCAAGGTCTCAAGAGGGAGATTGAGAGGCTTTGGTGCTCAGGTCTCAGAGGACAATGTTTTGTCCAATCACTGGTCCCCCCCAGGGTGGTCTGCTCAGCCTCGACTTTTCCTGTGGCTGTTCTACCAACTGCTCCCCCTCCCACCAGCAGGGGGTCACTGGTGTCCTTGGGAGACACCACTTGGTTGTAGATGGCTCCTTTGCAAGCCTCCTACTTCCCCAACCATAGACACTGCAATTTAACGACCACGTTAAGTATATGTGCTCAGTGCTCTCCAGCTCTTATCCAGGGTAGCTCCCATATCTGCAAAGCCAAAGGTACAGTTGGAGCAAACAGTGCTGGTTAAACAAAGGCACGAAAAATATGTGCGGCGAACCCTGCTGGATCGGCGTCGCATGGTTACTGATTTGCAAAGTTGGATGGAGGAGGGTGTGCCAAGAACAACATGCGACGTGGTCCCTCGCATTAGCTTGATACCGCGGACTAAAGATAGAGTTTGAGTTTGTCCAGTCACCGCAAAATATTTGTGCTGCTAAACTGAGACGTTGCCTGTTTTGTCGGGGGAGGGCGGGTTGGTGTAAAGTCCTGCACCGTTGCAAGCCCTTGGTGCAAATTGCATGGCTTGCAGCTTAGGTGACCTGGTTATTCAGCTGGATGTTTGCTAAAGTGATTAGCTTTAAGTGTCCTGCCCAAGGGGACAAGCGGGGATCGGATCGGGCCCAGAATAGGGAATGCACCTTCTCAGCCACTGTGCTGCCTGCTGCCCCCGTTGGCTGTAAGTGTGCGTGACGACATCTCCACCTGCTCTCCATTCCCCCCCACCCCGTCTCCACACAGAATGCTGCAGAACAACCACCTCCGGCAAGTCCCCAGCGAAGCCCTACAGAACCTGCGCTACCTCCAGTCTCTGTGAGTCCCTCAGGAAACTGATCACACTGGAATTGCATCAAGTAGGATGACAGTTACTTCCTGCTTTTAAACCTCCTCTGCCCCCCCCCCCCCAGCCTTAAAGGAATCCCTGTGCCCAATGAAACTGTCAGCTTGGTTTTCGGCAGAATGACATCTCAACTCATTCAGCCCAGGAACTTTAAGTGGCTAGCTCTTTTAATTATCACATGAAATGAAGGACATGGGACATTGGGAGTGGGGGGCGGGGAAGGGGGAGGTAAAAATTTGAACAGAGTCCAAATCAATTTGGCTCTACAGAAAGCATACCTTTGATCAATGGAGAAAAAGAAGAAGCAGCGAGATAAGGCGGGTGAATGCAGATTGCCTTTCAGCACAGTTGAGCTGGAATCCACCCTTTCTTGCTTTTATTTTTTTCCAAACAAATGCTAAATATCAGCCTAAGATCACATTATTCCATGCGCATTTTGTCCTTAGGTAGGTCAAGCGAACAGACTTGCTATTATTGTCGGGCCGGATCCGAACGCATGTACTACAGGGTTTCTCCAGCGATATGACAGCCTCTATTTGGGAGCCTTTGTCTCCTAAATGCGCCGCTCTGAATGAGGCCCCAGGAGCAGGGCGCCTCGGCGCTGAAGACGAGAATGAGAGGTATCAGGTGACCGTTAATTTAGGACAGACTGTGTGGTCAGTGCAGGGAGGGAGAGGCCTGAGCGGGCGGATACTGTCACAGGTGCCGGCAGGTGGAGGACGAACGTGTCAATTGCTGTGTATGCCCTTCGGACTAAACAGAGCTACAAATTTAAAAACACAAATAAGTTTGTAATTCATCGGACACAGTATTTTCTTTTTGTTTTGTGGGCTTTCAGACTCATTTTTAACCATTTGATTGGGTACTTGTCTTTGCTTTAGGTTTTATCAATAACATAATTTGCGTGATGTGTACTAGAGATGCCATCAGCCACATCTACCCCCACAGAGTCTCAGAGAAAGCGCTAAAGTCGACAGGGCTTCGCAGCAGCCCCAAGCAGGCTTGACAAAACTGGCTTTGAGCTGTGTGAGGAGCCAGTAGATTCCGAGATAAGGCCGCCCGTTAACGGAGTGCGATATAAACCCCACAAAGGGGGGGGGGGGGGGGGGGGGGGGGGGGGGGGCGGGCAATGGGAGAAGTGCTGAAAGGGCAAGCAATACGTGCCAGGCCGAGATGTTTCAGGGACAATTTTCTGAACATGAGTGACTGGGATTGGGGGGGAAGGGGTGCTCAGGACCCACCAGGTAGGTCTTATTGTAATTTAGTGAAATCTGATCGGGGCAATCAGAATGGGGAGCGGTGAACACCAATTCGACAGCAAAGCGTGGCGTTTGTGGGGCCACTTCATAATGATGTGTCCTTTAGGGCTTGCTGAACCTTGACGCCCCAGGGAGAAGGGCCTTTTTCTAGTGGAGGCCTGCCATCCTCGCTGGCAGAAATCAGGTGCCACCTGCCAGGCACTGGCAGTGATTGGCGTGGCGCCATGCCCACATTTCTCATTAATTTACCATCATTAACATTAATTTACCATTATTAACGTTTTTTTCCAGTACAGTGAACTTCACTTATATCAGCAGGTGTGCAGTACATGTAAAAGCAAAAAAACCACCAGTGAGTAGCATTTAGAAAACCACAAATTAAATTTTCCATCTCATTCATAAATGAGCTAAGTGGTTAACAATTTCAGGGCGTCTCCCACCGTACCACACACACGCAAACAAACACACACACACATCTGTCCTGGACGACTTTTTGGGCCCATAATCAGCCCCATTGGACAGTTCTTGGCCTCTCTTACAGCCTATTTGTCCATCTTATCATGTCATCACCAGCAGATTGTTTGATATGTCTACTGTGGCCCAGGCCGGGTGCAGGGGCCCAAGTTAAACAAAGATGGCAGCTGTTTACTAGTGCCAGTCTGAAGTTCACACGCTGGACAGGAAGCTCGTGCTCGCTCACAAACACGCTCGCGACGCCGCTGCCAGGACTGTGTCAAACAGCTATGTCCCTAAAGCAAATGTCAACACGAGAAATTAAGGAAATTACTACCATGCAGTCAAGGAATGCACAGACCTCCCTGATCGGAGATGTCCCGCATCCTGCAACCCCCACCGCTAAGAAATTTACATTTAGGAAATGAGAACTGTCTGCAAATTTTCTAAAAATGATCCTGTATTGAATATCCTCATTTATTTATGAAACACACAGGTTACAGAAGGACATGAGTGTGCAGACTGAAGCGACCAGCGTGCGAATGGGCTGTGAATGAGACCAAGCTGTGTGGTCCAAATCAACACCCATGAACAGTTGGAGTACGGTCGCGATGATAATGGCTCAGGTTACGGCGCTTCCCCGTGCGTCCCACACTTGATGAAAATGGGGCTCACATCATTCCCAAACATTTGCCCGCCCCCCCCCCACCATCGCTACCACTACAGTCAGGCAGACGATCCTGTCCCATGAGAAGTTTGATTAGATGAAGAGGAAATAGCCAGTTCCACTCGGACCACCTGGTGAGCAGGGGCGTATGAAGGGGAGGGCCACAGGGCCCAGCTGATAGCTGATTAGTCCCTGGAGTGCCCTCTGCTAGTCACTCACTGATTCAAAACATATCATTGGCTGATGATAATGTAGGCCTCTCTGTATGTATTATGGCCCTTCTTATGCCATTCCCCAGCTTAAAACAAATTGTAGAATTGCCCTCACTGGTGGGCAGGAGGATCAGAAGCCAGAGACCCATGTCGCTGAGGGTGGAACTTTTGTATTTCTATTGATGTGTTGATGGAGGGACAAGAAGCAATAAATTAGAAGGTGACTTCCAGCATGGAGCACGAATGACACACCGGCAAACTCTGCGGCGCGCGCCCGAACGTGCCTGCCTGTACTGTGAGCCTCGCACCCGTTACTCCTGCCAGAATAATCCACAAAGGGGAACAATGGCAGTGATGCAATGCAGCTGGCGAGGACGGTTTAAAAGGTCCGCCGATTGAAGGGCACCGTGCTTTCCCTGAATCTGTCTTTTCATTCCAGTGCACCCCCACATCCTAGCCTCACCCCCCCGCCCTCACCATCAATGGTTCCCAGACACTCTACCTAATTTAGGCTCCTGTGCTGATGTTCCATTCAGCACAGACAAAGCCACAAAGCAGCAGTGACACTCGGAGTCCTGTCTCCAAACCACTTAAGCTGGGACTGCTGTCCTTTTATCTGTCCACCGCTTCAAAGGTCCTTTCTTACGAATGTGCCCCGGCCACTCTTTCCGCACAGAGGAACGACGCTTTCTTGTACACGCCCGGAGCAAATTTTAATTAAATATCTTTGTACGCAAAATAATAGGGAAACATTTTTTTTTGAAAGAGAACAAATTCGATTTATTTTTGGTGTGCCTCAGCACATTCCAGTCAGTCACTCAGAGCAAGGCACTTCAACTTTTGGATTTTTAATATTTATTATTAGTATGACACGGAAACAGAACGTAGTGTTGGGAGATGGTGACAAGTGATATTAATTTCTAAAACCCCTGTCAGACCCAAACCACCCCAGTGTGATTCTGGAGCACAGACAGGACACGGGACTTCTTTTCTACTTAGTCTTGGAAAGCGTACCCTTCGAAACCACCCACCCCACCCAACTCCTAAACTCCCTTCATGCGGCCTACACCACAAGCAAAGAAGTCAGAACGCCCTGTATTGTGACCACCTCTGCTCACATGTGCTGGGATTCATGTCCAAGGCCTGATGTTCCCTTCAGCACCAAAGTGTGAAACCAAATGTAACAGGGTATGCTCAGATTGTTCCAGCTTTTTTAACTACAGAATGGCAGAAGATTTTACTGGCCTGGCAGGACCTATTATCCGCTTGCATTTACAGTACTTCCTGCTCCTGGTATTTGGCCAAACCCTCCTGATAGAGGTTTTATACCAGCAGCCCTCTGCCTCAGCCGGGGATTTGAGCTCGGGGGCTGGTAGCTATCATTCTAGTGGCCTGATTCTCACCCTGTATTTCGATCACATGGGATCCTCCACCGTTTGCCGTGAACCGGTGACGGCGTAAGTGCCTGTCGTACTCCGCGTCCAGGTTCAAATTCACCTGGCTATAACAATATCCAGTATGAAGATGTCCAGACACGAAACTAAAGAGCCGGTTTCTTGGACGACTCCTTTGGGACTTTAGTGTTTCCAGAATGGCATTTATGTTGAGCTGTGTGTCTTTGTGGAGAAAAGCATAGTTCCAGCAGGAGGGAGCAGTCCACATCTGTGGCTGATGAAGCCAACCGGAGTTGCATGGGTAGGGTTTCTTTTGGGTTAGCTTCATATGCCCCCAATGAACCCGAATGAGCCCCCGATGATTTGTTTGGCTCAGACATTTTAACAACCGTGCTTCCAGTTTGAGAATTCCATACATCACGACAGTCCAATTCCAAGGCTGTGTTTCACAAAACCTTCATAGTGCTAAACTCATCATAACTTCATAGCAGGAGAATTCAACATGATGACCCTTGGGCAAATCAGGTCTCAGGGCTAAGGGCCAGATGTCTTACGATCCTAGGAATCCCCGTGGTTAACTTGATTAAAGAAATTGCAAATTAGATTGTTCCTTAATAACCCTTCAGTGGAGTCCAATAAGTATAAGCTGCTGGTGTATGGTTGCCCATTAACAGGGCAACTTCTTGAGCAATGTTGCTTGGCAATAATTTAGACCAGTGTTGCTCTGGCACTTTCCCAATGATATTGGGCAACAAATTTCTATTTGTAAAACTTTGATTGGCAGTGGGCAATTTTTTGTGATCATCCGGATCCCGATGAGTTGCTCTTTGTCTCACCTGATTGGCAACATTGCCCAAAAAGTTGCCCTGTGTGTAATCATCTTAAATCTTGAGTTTGAGGACATTCATTAGCCTGAAACGGTTTTCTCTGTATTCCAGCCGCCTGGATGCCAACCACATCTACAACGTGCCCCCAAAGTGCTTCGAGGGCTTGGTGTCTCTGCGCCACCTGTGGCTGGACGATAATGCCCTGACAGAGGTGCCCGTGCAGGCGCTGAGCGGCCTGCCCTCCCTGCAGGCCATGACCCTCGCCCTCAACAAGATCAGCCACATCCCTGACCACGCCTTCTCCAACCTCTCCAGCCTGGTTGTCCTGTGAGTGCTCCAGGGAAGATGATGGTGGTTTCACTTCATCGTGGTTTCCTGATGCATGGGATGAGGGATCCGAAATGGACAGCTTTTTCCTTCACCAATGAGGGCAAAATCAGGAAAATGGATACTTCTATAAAGGAGTTCCCTTAGCAAGCAAATCCAATGATCCAAGATTCCCACTGACATAACAGCCTTTGAATTATATTGTTGAGCTGACAGGCTGAATCTTTATGGATTTATTCACATTTATTTTTCCTAACACTGGCTCCAGGTGAGGGTTGAATAACTTCTGTCATACACTGGGCTTTTACCTTATTAGATTCTGGAATACACTATGGTCTGCCATGGAAGATCTGTTCAAACTCACAGTAGGCCCTCCTCTCAGCTGCTACGGAAGATTAAGATCTGTGACGGATTAAGACTCTTTCCAGTAGTCTGTGGTCCCATTACCAGCGCAAGTGCTGGGATTAAGGCTGAAAGTAATGTGGGACTGCTGAGATAGGAGTTTGATGCTAGGGGTTGATGGGATAGGTGAGTCCTACCCGAGGCTCACGGTTCCTTGACACACCGGAGGAGTGCCAGAGAGCTTCCTGGATGTCCTTGCTCTGGAGGAACACCAGGGACCTCACGTGCTCCGACTGGAAAATTACTCCTTGCAATGTAGCTTTCCATTGTTGGGCCATAGCAAGCTGTCCCATAAGGATTTGCGTTACTTTCACCATCTTAAGTATGACAAAATATGACAAAGTGTCCACCTAACTCCACAGCAGGCAGACATCAACCTAGATTGCTGTCAGCCGGGCCCATGAAACACTGCATTCTCGGATGAGTTAAATCTTGGGTCATAGCAGAGTTAAGCTGAAAATCACACCACTTTAATTACACTATTAGACATATAGCGATTATGAATTACACATCAATTTTCTTCTGGATATTTATGTAGTGGGAATTTAGAGTAATCAGTGTGAAATTAAAAGTGTTTAATTTTCACTGTGTACAGCCCTTAATAATCTACAAATCTGAGGCTCCACCTTAGGGTCTGTGCCCCATTCCAAGTCTCTAATTGCAATGGAAAAGCAAATAAATCCAGACTGATTTCGTCTAACTTTGGCCCCCTGCTTGTTTGGCAGGATAGTGGAAAAAAACAACATCATTTTGTCTTTCTCCAGTGTATTTTTACTTATTTTATTCTATTTGTTATAATAGGCATTGATCATAATAGTTAAGTGTAAGTCATAATACGAATTTAAAAAATGATTAGGAAAGTGTAATAGTTCTCTTTGAAATGTCTTAGCCAGGTTGCTGTAGCATGAGGCTTTGCTTTCTGTTGAGCATATTCAGATTTGTGTGATTAATTGCCCTGTGCATCTACAGATGCTGGATTTTTCCATCCAAAATCACTCACAAGTGCCCCTCTTGCCTGTAACTCTGCAGTGGGAGGAATGTTTTTCCAGTTTGTTTCCCTCTGGGCCATCCAATGCTGACATGTGCCGTATGGCGGGAGTGACGAGCATGGAATGATTGCTCCTGGTGTGGCATGAAGGACGCCTTCCCCTCTCTCTCCCTCTCTGTTTTTTTCTGCCTCTCACTCTCAGCCAATCAGGAGTGTTTGCCAGGCCCTCAGTGTTCAGCCAATCAGGAGTGCTCGTCGGGCCCTCTGTGCCCATTGTGTGCGCCTGACTGTTCTCTTCATGTGTCTCCACAGGCATCTCCATAACAATAGAGTCCGCTCCCTGGGAAAGAAATGCTTTGACGGGCTCCAGAGCCTGGAGACTTTGTGAGTTGACCTCCGACTTGTTTAAATTTGAAACGTTTTCATTAAAATTCAGAAAGTGGCATAAAAAATGTTACCTCGCCCTCGCATGCAAGGGAAGGGATTTTGCCTTGTGTAGCCAAAATAGCCAACAGGTATTATGTTATTAGGCTTTATGAACTCATTGATGCAGGTCAACATTTATATTCAGCTGGGGGGGGGGGATATTTTAAAGACACATCACGTGGTGTGTTTGGTGGGGTAGAGGGGAGATCAGTTTTTTTTCTGAATGTTGTTTGTTTTCAGCTGGTCACATAAGAGAAGTGGGTTTGTCACATGATAAAAATTGTTGGTAAACTAATAATATCAAAGTTAAATTTGTGTATTTTTCCTGTTGGATTTATGATTATGTCACACAGCCAGTAACAGGACAGGAAGCGTTTGTGAGAAAATGAACGAATGTGGCTCAAGGCGCAGAAAGGGGGGGGGGGGGGGGGTATGCACCTCCTGCCTGCCCCCCACACTGTGTCCCACTAATGGGACCAGATGACTGGACAGCGGCAACATATTCAGCACAGGGAGGGGGGTGTCCCAGCCCAGCAGGTGGTGGGAGGGCGGGGGGCGATCATTTACGTCATCTTTGTGAAGGAGAATTGTTTTAAATGACCTTCAAGCATATACATACAAACTATCATATAAGCCAGTATATCACATTATCGTTCATATTACATTTAAAATTTAGTTTTTAAGGTCTTAAATTTCATTTTTTAACAGAATTACTGAATTCCATGTGAATATTCATCTGTTGTGTTACAGATATTAAACTGAGAGATAGTTCAAAAGAATAATCTTTTAGTGGATACTTATTCCTGCTATTTTGCTTAGCAAATAAGCTTAGCAAATAAAATAAACATAGTCTCCCATAGAGTGCTTGCATGACAGGTTACATTGTGAGAAGTCCCTCTTCTGAGGTTATAATATTACCCAAATGAATCACTGCAGCTTCAAAGCTTAAACGTGCAGGAGTTCCTCGCTATGAGGAGCTCGTTCAGGGAACGTTGATCTTAGTGTGTGGCCCTGGTTTTTGTAATACATGTATAATATCTTATAATACCTGTAATTACTGCATGTTTTCTAAATATTTTCACTGCGATATGAAAGCAGCACTCAGAGAAGGCTGTAACAACTCATTTGTCCAAAGAATGAGCTTCGTAAACATCTGAAAGAATATTTGTCTTATATTTCATGGGGCAGATCGCACAGAAACCTTGAAATTGCCCCCTGAATAAACTCCCGTCTTTTCCGCCTGAGACTGACGCCGTTTGCTCTTCGTGATTGCACTTCGCCCGTTTTGCCGCATTGACATTGTGGGAGTTCCTTAGGCGTCCAGGCCGGTGCCTGACAGGCCACCTGTGCCTTGGAGAGGGATCACTGTGCGTAATTGAAAGCATGTGAGGCCCAAGAAAATAGCCCCACACACGAGATGAAGGCAGGGCAGGGGCCGCAGGCCAGGCTCAGGAAAGGAAGGACTTATCGTCCCAGTACAGGATGTCTTAGTGATAAAATAAGTGTCGCCTGGGAAGTTTGTGAGCCTCTGCACGATCTTTTATATAACCTTGTGAAAATTCAATTCCCGATCCAATTTTCATTATATCCAGCTTGATCTAGTTTGATCCGGTTTGACTGGCTGTTGGAAAGATGTCATTTAACTGGGATAGCTTGTTGTTTTCGGTGTTCAGTATGGGATACATCATTTCCCTGTGCGTCATATCCCACTCCCAACCTTGGCACCATCAGATTCTCAGAAAACAAAGTCCCCAGTCCCGGGCCTGTAAAAAGAGGGAAACACAACTGTCACGTTTCCTTGTTTGACCTCTCCGGCTCATCAAGGTCAGGGTCATCCCGAAATGGGATAGGGAGCGCATGACATTCCACGACTTCAGCAAATCGATGACTGGCTCGGCTCAGGATTCGGCTGTTTACAAACAGGAAGGCAGCCCTGTGAGAACCTCTGCATTGTTTACCCGGAGGGAGGCAGGGAGGAAGAGTTAATTCATACGGAGGTTTCTCAATGCCTTCCTAAGGAAAGTGAATTGCACTGGATTATTTACAGTTAGCCTTGCACTAACTCTGGCTAGCAGCAGAGTTGCACTGAGGGAGAGGAAGTTCCCCAAGCGATACTTCCCACTCTTTTCCTGTTTTGGTACTCATGTTTTGTTTAAGTTACTTCCTCTATCAAGCTCCATTTAGACACACTGGGTAATTAACTGGGGGAAAAACCAGGATGAGTAAATACGCATGAGAAGCAGGGGCAAATTAAGTCTCGGCAATGTTCTGAATTTCAACAAACCCCAAAGAAAAGACTGTAGCACATTATTACCATTCATTAATTCATTCACTTTCCATTCCACCCCTTGGGTTGAGGATCCAGGCCCATCGTTAACATTTTTGGCGTAAACAATAATTAGAATCATGCTTGCGATGCAATTAAGCATTATGCATTTTAATAATAAACAAACGACTTGCAGTATTATCCCAGCTGTATCTGCAAGCCATTACGTTAGTGACTTCATATTTATATATTTATGATTGATCAGCATTGTGTAATGAGACTGCTAATTTTGTGCGGAAGTGTAGAAAGATGAGACAGCTTTTATGTCTTGCAGGGATTTAAACTACAACAACCTGGACGAATTTCCTGTTGCGATCAAAGCCCTGTCCAACCTGAAGGAGCTGTAAGTCCTCACGCTGTTTCTGATCGGCACCGGTCGATACCATGTCAGCAACCTCCGTCACACGACTGACGCATCATCTTCTCTCTGTTTACAGGGGGTTTCACAGCAACAACATCAGGTCCATTCCGGAGCATGCCTTTATTGGAAACCCCTCTCTCCTCACAATGTAGGTCTTCTTCTAAAATAGGTAGCAACCGAAAGTTCCCCAATTCAACATTAACCTATGAATTAGCAACACGTTTATGACTTTTCTAGTATTTTCTAATAATTAACTAATATTTTTAGTTTAAGGTATTATCATGTATGTCAGTTTGAATTATGCCTGTCTGAGGTGGGAGCTTGTGTAAAATGGTGTATAATGTTTTTATGACATGGTAATAAGATCCATGAAATACTTTTTGATTGTTCATACTGTCAAGTGTATTTCTGCGGTCACCCTTCATCTTGCTGCCACTAAGCAACATTGGTTTTGATGCAGTTTGTCTCAAAATGAAAAGAGTTCCAGACCTTCTCCTATCAAAACTACCTGTGAACAACAAGTACTTTTTGAGTTATCACATTAACAAGATCAAGTGTCTGAGGCTGCTTTACTCCTTGCTATTACTATGAAGCACTTATACAATTTTGGTGTGATTTTCCTCAAAAAAGTCCAAGTCTTCACTCATAAGAGGTGTCTGCAAAATCTTGAAAAAGATCTGTAAAATACTTTTTGCGTTATTGTGCTAATGAGATATGTGTCTGCGGGATAATTGGTTGGTCATACAAAATGTAATGAGTAGCAACTGTTCTCAATAGAAATGAGTAAGAATTACAGAACTTCTTTATACTTGTAGTTGAGCAGAAAGTGAACATTGGTAATATTGTTAACAGTTGAAGTATAAAGTTTCCAACAGAATGCTAAAGTACAGTAACAGAATACAGTTACTCAAGTACGACACACCATTGAGTAATTCACATATTTTGTTACGCAACTGTTGGCTGGAACAAGAGCATACTGATTTCATGTTTTGGTGCTGCAGCATGGAGTTTAATAAAAAATCAGAGGAATAGTCTGGAATGAATGTGGCCTTTTGTAATTTCCTGGCCATTATGACAGTTTCCATACTTCGCTCTTGTGGATCTCTGGTCTGGATAAATACGCTTATCCCCTTGGTGGTTCCTAGCACTACCAGTTCCTGCCCCACAGGCAGCTCCTTGTCCTCTGATCGCTGTAAGAACAGCCCCTTCCTTGGTTTAGTGCTCTCCGAGGTGCTGTAATGGATTTGAAATTTAATTCCACCAACTCCGAGTTTGTTGCGACATGGAAACTCACTGTCCGCCAGCATCTGTGCGTCAGTAAAGAGAAAACTTTATTCTTCGCAAAATCCTGTCACCTGAACCCAGCTATTGATACAATCTGATCACCGATTGGTTTCTCCTCCAAGTTTAATGACCTCCTCAGAAATCGCACCCGCCCTCAGGGAATGGAGGATGCGTAGTTTACACCTTGTGTTTTGGACAGATTCTTCTATGACAACCCGATTCAGTTCGTCGGCAAGTCGGCCTTCCAGCACCTGCCGGAGCTGCGAACACTGTGAGTTTGAGAACTGGCTTCCATTTCCTTACTTATTTCTTTCCTTCCTTGTCCTCCTTGTTCAGCATATGAGACTCTCGTCTCTCAATTCAGTTTCTCCCTTCCCCCTTTGTGCATGTCTAGGTCTCTTAATGGAGCCACAGAGATCACAGAATTTCCAGACCTCACAGGCACCACGAGTCTGGAAAGCTTGTAAGTCTTCCTCGTGGTCCGTAACAGGCTGGCCTTTGTGGCTTCTGAGGCCTTCATAAACATAACCCAGAAATGCTGTAGTATCACACAAACGTTTGATAACATTTTGAGCATGAATATAAAATAGTATATTCCGGATTAGGGGTTCCCAACCTTTTGATGACCACAGATAAGGTTTACTCGCAAAAATTTCATGGACCAGTAAAATTACCCAAGCAAGTGTTGGGAGTCCCTATTCTCGCTTAATATACACAGCAAATGAAAAAGATACTGATTATATCGTAAATATTTATAATGAGTAAAATAGGAAGTGCGATTATTTGTGTATTATAATGATTTTATAATGATCTCCATAGGACCATTACTGGGGCACGGATTGGAGCACTGCCCAGCTCCGTGTGTGACCAGCTACGCAACCTGCAAGTGCTGTGAGTATCCTTACCTTCCTGTCCTCACACTACAGTGATCATACCACCGTCAAATCACTGATTTCAGCTATGAAACACGCACATACATGTGCCATATATTAGGGGTGTAACGGTACACAAAAATCACCTCGGTTTTGAAGTACGTTGAAGTATGTTTTCGGTACAGTGGGGATAACAGAAAGAAGACATAAATTGCTCTTTTCTTTATTAAGCAGTGGTTTACTGAACAAATTTCACTGTCTTTCTTAAATAATAAGCCTCTGCCAATATTGATGCAACCTACTAATAAAAAACTAAACTTTACTTAAAAGTAAATCAAAATAAATATCCATTAAGGTGCACATTAAAAAACATAACTGTACCTGATCTGTTCTGTATTCACATTAGCAGCTTTCAGCTTCATATTTGAACTGCGAAACACAAATATTGTCTCAAAAAATGCAATGCATAACAAAACAAATATCCATTTTGGTGCAGTATGTAAAAAATATTGTACTTGTGCTGTACTTGTATTCACGTGAACAGCTTTCAGCTTCATGTTAGGAAGCACGTGCTTCACCTCCAGCCCTTTCCGAATGTTGCTCGGGGGAAACACACAAACACACAAAGTACCGCATTTGCTGCATTCGTTCGGTACATTTGTGTGCTGAACCGAAAGACCCAAACCGAAAATCTTTGGTACGAACACGCGTACCGTTACACATCCATATATGTGTGTGCATATGTGTGTGTGTGTGTGTGTGTGTGTGTGTGTGTGTGTGTATATATATATATATATATATATATATATAAACTTTCTGTACAATATGGCCATTTCCAAGTTCAAATACATGTTACTAATTTGGACAGTTATAAAATAATGACAAAATAAGGGACTTGATGGGTTTCTTAAGTAAATATAAGGTCTGACTGCAACCATGCAGACGTTACATGGATGTTTTTTCAGGGATCTTTCCTTCAACCTCATCCAGCATCTCCCCAGCTTCAGTGGATGTGTGAAGATTCAGAGAATGTAAGTTGGGGGGGAGTCTTGAGAGAGAGTAAACATGTATGGAGAATATCAGCCAAAAGCTCAACCCAAAAATGTTTCTACATTTCTGTCTCTCTGTTGGCTCCCCGCAGTGACCTTCACCACAACAAAATCCAAGAAGTATTAGCGGACACGTTTCAGGAGCTAATGGCTCTCAGGTCCCTGTAAGTACCCTCAACACCCCCACCTGCCCTTGGAGGCGACTCCCATGGTGCCCCCGTCAATGCAAGGTCATCAGATGGGTCAGGAGAGTGACCTTTTAGCTAAAAATCTCACCATGTGTTGAGTGGGTCATTTTCAAAAGTGTTGCCCTCTTATGTTTTTTTGTCAGAAAACTAGTGCAATCACAGGACACAGATTAAGTCTATTTTTTCAATTATTGGTGACATTTTGGTTTCTAAAAATTGGAGGGTTGCTTTTTTGCTATAGGGAAAGAGGCTGTCTTGCAGGAAGCTTTCACAGAGGAACCAGTTCAACAGGAATGAAAGTGAGACCTCATAACCCAGCCTTCCCAGAAGTACACGTAGAAAAAACGAACTAGCCCCTCTTGGTGGGGCCACACCTGCCAAACCTGGCCTTGCTAGAAATACTTCAAGAGAATTCCCGCTACGCTTTTTTTTCCTGACCCTCGACACTCCCGTGGTCAACATTCGGGATTCTGTTACGGGCCGCAGTTAGGAAAGGGGCACGGGAAATTGTCAAATTTCGGCAAGATTGTTCCCGTTAGCTTAAATAGAGCAAACAGCACTAATGACAGTGTGATGAGACACGGCTAATTTACCATAGCTGGTACAGCTGCGGAGAGAGTTTTTTTCTTTAACATGTTTAAGTGGCTATTTTGCTGATTGCAGAGCCAGAACAATCATCTTGCAACGGGAGGCCTCTGAGCCAACACTTCAACATTACGTCAGCGGGCTCAATTCCCGTCCCATACAGATCCCGGGCACGTCCATGTCGGACCACATTGCTGGACACGTGGCGGTCAGCAGGACCCCCGGAAAGGTGTCCCCATCCAACCGCGAGGTCCTTGCCGCACGCCCTGGATGCCGGCCGCGTGGAACAGCATTGTTCCTCTCACCCCCGCTTTCATGAGCTAGGGATTTGGTGATTTACGTGGATGGCGGATGTAGGCACACGGGAAGCATTAAACATGTTACTGCTGGCGATTATTCCCTGGGCGAAGGTGATACCGGACGGCCTCAAGGAGGCTCTTTAACAGGATTCCTCTGTGGAGAAAATCGGAGGGATTTTTGGATTGGCAGGGGACAGAGCAAGGCCATCTATTTTCCAAATCCGGCCCCGTTTTACTTGCCATTAGGGCATTTACACTTCAGAGCGCTCACCCAGTCTTACTACGGTGTGCCCCTGGGGCTCATGGGCTATGGTCCAACAGATTTTAGGAGTCTGACTAAATCCCTCGCTCCTTTGCAGAAAGGAAAGGGCTTGGCCCTATCCAGTTAGGAAAATCATCTTTTTGGAGGGAAAAGTGAGGATTTAGTCTCACAGGAAGCAAGAAGGTCACCCTGTAGGACGACCCGTCCCGCTGCTGGAGCACAAAGAGTCTCCTTTGAAGCGATCATCAGACCCGGGAGACCTTGAGGGAATGTTTCTTGGATTGACATTGCTATAGGCTTCAGTTAAACAAAGGAACCACGTGAGGTTAATATACACAGGAAACCTGTGCAGCAACCTTGACGTGACACCGTGTTTCCAAGAGTTCCTTATCAAAGGCTTGTGCATCAACTCGAAAAACAGTCTAGCAATAAACGACAAACGATTCTATACATTTGGGTCAATTCACAAGGACTTCAGCCGGCCAGTGTGACAGATGTGAAACGTTGCCATGCTTCATGGAGAATCATGCATCTGCCGGCCCAAACCTGCAGATTTATGGCAGTGGAAGGAATCATATTATTTTATATTTATAAGCATGGACATTATTAAAGAAAATCAAGCCAAACGTCTCACTTTATCTTTCTTGCCGCGATCTTTCCTGGAGAAGGATGAGCGGCAAACCATGCACATGGGTCTATAAATCAAATCCGCGGTTCAAAATAATGCTTGATTTCTCTGAGCTGATAGAAGTGGTTTCCATAACTAAACCCTGGACTGCAAGCATGGAACCACGACATCCTGTTTTTTTTTTTGGTATTGATCTTGTAAGGGCTTCCTGATCGGGGAAAATAGATTCAAAGGTGGAAACTTGTGGCTGACTCGTGTTCAGCTTATGTTCCACACAAAAATAAAAATAAAGAAAATTTACATTTGAAACATTTATTAAACTACAACCATGTCAAAAATAAAGTTTATAATAGTAAACTTCCACTGCCTAAACACGGTCAGAGAAACTGTGATCTTCCACGATTCATTCCAAAACCATTGTCCAAAAACTCCGGCACCTTCCGCACATAACCTCGTGACTATAGCACATTCTTAAAGTGACAGGCACCCATTAGACACATTACTAAACAGAAATGAAAGAACTTAAACATTAATAACAAAGTAAAATTCAATTAAATATTATGCCTAACTATATAAACTCCTAGGATACATTTGACTCCTCTAGATCTTTTTCTCCTCCTTCACTTTAAGCAGTTAGGGAAGTTTCATGGTCATTCTTACCTGGGCAAGTTCACTTTCGTTGCCATTTTTGTTTTTATTCTTTTGGGACAAAACTGAATATCGAAAATATAGAAAGGGTGATCACTAAAACAGAGCATACCAAAGTACTGTAGAAGCAGTGGCTACAAGGTTAAAAAAACTGAATTTGACCAAAACTTCAACAGGATAAATATAGCCATTGTGACGGCAGTGATCCCATATTTTGATCCGAGTCACTATTGTTTGCTTCTTCAGGTACTTTTTGACAGGTTGACTGTATGAACGCCATGTTGTAAATGTCTTTACACTTTCTTCCAGTGACCTGGCCTCGAACGAGCTTCACACGGTGGACCCACACGCCTTCTCTAATCTGCCCTCATTAATCAAACTGTGAGCACTGCTTCATTCATCCATCTGCCCCCGTCTTTTGTCCCGAATCAATAATCCACTGCCTGTCCCTCTAGCACACAGGCAGAGCATAAACGGCCTTAATGACTCCCAGGTGCCGAGCCGGACAGCCCCACACTAAAATGCTCCCCCTTGCTCCCCACTCATGTCCCACAGGGACCTCTCCTCAAACCAGCTCACATCTCTGCCTGTGGTGGGACTCCATGGCCTCACGCACCTGAAGCTTGCCGGCAATGAGGGGCTACAGGAGTTGCTGTCCGCTGAAAGCTTCCCCAAGCTCAGGTAAGGGGGCGGAGCCTCCACGTCACATGGTATCATACCTCTTTCGGTGATTGGCTGTAGTTTCCGAATGTGCACTTAGCACCTGCTCAGACGTTCATCAGCCATTCCCTTCTTAGCATCTGAACCATCCCTTAGCCTCTGGCACTCCCGCTGCTCTTTATTACGGGTGATTGGTTTTAATGTTCGGCCATCCGTGGGCTCTGCAGGGTGATGGAGATGCCCTACGCCTTCCAGTGTTGTGCCTTTGTCTCCTGCGAGAGGTCCCTGGATCTCTGGGACCAAGAGGAGAGCAGCAGGAAGGATGAGCTGGGTCGGGGAGACCATGGTGGCATGTCCAACCCAGGTACATTTCTTCTAACTCTTTTAGTGTATCTTCACTGGAATGTGTGTTTAGGCAACAAATTTATGGGCACGGCAGCTCCTAATTCACACTATTTCATAACTTTTAGTTATGGCCCTCTGCTCCTAGTCAATGCTATTTTTGGTTTGTGCAGCCAATATTTGCCATGCAGGGTAGCCAAACAGTGATTGGAGGGAACTCCCAATACTGAAACCCAGCACCTCACAGACCATTCATGCAGGAGTCAGTGAAGATTCACCAGGCCCATTTGACCCCGTCGTCCTTTGAAGTCACGATGCCGGATCTTATATCTCAGATACAGCTGGCAACTGGCCTCAGATTTGAACTATAGTAGCAGATATTTTTACACAAGGCGTGATGTAGCATATTTTAAACGTTACCCATCTGTTTGAGGGTAAGTACCTTGCTCAAGGCTATGAGATTAGGGTGCCCTTCTGGGACTTGACCCTGTCATATTTTTGGTCATAAGCCCAGGTTATTAAGCACTGTACTAATTTCTGTCCTGCCCTCAAGTGCAATACGGAAACTGAGTGATGGACTTGACTTTTAGCTAAACGAACAGAACAGACATATATGGAATCCATGTGTTTTAGACATGGAAAACACCTGAACCAACAACTGTAAATCCCACTGAAAACATCTCTGCAAGTGAGGCATTGCAAATGTGCCCCCCGCCCGGGAGGTTTAGCGTGCAGGAAAACTGCTATGTATATTAAAACCGTATCTGATTCCAGAAGACCATGACCTGGAGGACTTCCTCCTGGACTTTGAGGAAGATCCCAAGTCTCACCATTCGGTGCAGTGCTCCCCAGCTCCAGGTAAGACAAGAACGTCGGACCTTCAGTTGAGGCATGGAACTAAATTCCATCCCATATGGCAGTGGTTTTTCTGTTAAGTCCTTAGGGTCCTTCAGCAAATTGTCAGCCATTCCAGTAAGAGCACACATGATTCTACTAGGCAATAAATTATCCTAGCTACCAGGCTAATGAAGACATGACGTGGCTACGTACATTATCCCTGGACCCAAGCACATGCAGATTGTAACTTTATTTGCTGTTTTTTCTTATTTCCAGTATCATGGAAATATGTTGGTATGACTAGTGCCTGCAGAGTTTTGGTCCACTGATTGATTTGTGGATCTTCTGTACTAGCTTAGCCATAGCTCTGAGATCATTATATCAATAACTCAAATGATGGCATCCGATAGTTTTTCAGGTATCAGTCAATCGCTAAGTGAAAGGTGAATGAGAATCTTATAATAACTATCTTGATATAGTAATCCAAAGAGCCTCAACTGCTGTAAGTAGCTTAAAAAACACGTTGAATTTCCAACTAAGTTACCTGCCATCTTTCATGTTTGGCTCCAGGACCATTCCGCCCCTGTTATCACCTGTTTGGGAGCTGGCTCATCCGCAGCGGGGTGTGGATCATCGTGGTGCTGTCCCTGGTCTGCAATGCCTTGGTGGCGGTCACCGTCTTCTTGTCACCCAATTTTGTGTCCCCGGCTAAGTACCTAGTTGGCCTCCTAGCTACAGCCAACAGCCTCATGGGACTCTCCAGCGGCATCCTCGCAGTGGTAGATGCCCTGACCTTTGGCAGCTTCGCCAGGTATGGTGCCTGGTGGGAGAGGGGCGCCGGCTGCAAGATTATCGGCTTCCTGTCCGTCTTCGCGTCGGAGAGCTGCATCTTCCTGCTAACGGCCGCTGCTCTAGAGCGGGGACTTTGCATCTGCAGCTCAAAGAGGGCCGAGCCCAAGTCTTCCATGGGGAGCATCAAGGTCGTCTCGACCCTGTGCTTCGTCGTGGCTCTGGCCATTACCATCCTGCCCCTGCTACACGTGGGCGAATATGGTGTCTCTTCCCTGTGTTTCCCATTGCCCTTTGGGGAGCCTTCTAGCTTGGGCTTCATGGTCGCCCTAGTGCTGCTCAACTCCCTCTGCTACTTCGTCATGACCGTCACCTATACAAGGCTGTACTGCAACTTGGAGAAGGGTGAGCTGGACCACTTCACAGACAGTGCCATGGTCAAGCATGTAGCCTGGCTGCTGTTCGCCAACTGCCTCCTGTACTTCCCCGTGGCCTTCCTGTCCTTCTCCTCACTGCTCAGCCTCTCCTTCATCAGCCCCGAAGTGGTCAAGTCCGTCTTGCTGGTCATAGTCCCCCTGCCTGCGTGCCTCAACCCCCTGCTCTACATGCTCTTTAACCCCGACTTCAAGGAGGACATGAACTCCCTCCTCAAGCGAGCCCCCCGGCTGAGGAAGAGCCAGCAAGCTAGCCTGGTCTCCCTCAACTCAGAAGACGCCGAGAAGCAGTCCTGCGACTCGACGCAGGCCCTGGTCACCCTGTCCTCCACCGAGCGGTCGGCGGGAAAGTTGCAGCGGCAGAGTGCAGAGGCCTACCGCCCACCGGTGCCATTCGTCCCATGCCGTTAGGCTGCGACGTTGGGCGACCATCTTGGGTTGAATTCGTCCCGTAGCACCAGACTCTCCCGACTGCAATTCTGAATTGCAGGTGAGAACTGTACACAAAGACAACATGCTAGTTCAGTTACGGAAAGTAGCCAGGGAAGAGGTAGGGGTCGCAAAACATTGGACCGAAGGAAAACCGAGCTCCGCTTAACCAATCCGCAAGAGCCCAAATGTCTACGTTAATCTGAGTAAGTGCTGCATTTACCTCGCTGAAGTGTTTCTCAGTATAGAGCACATAGTGAAATCTCATTTCTCCTACTCAACGTCAAATCATTCATGGGCATTAAAGCATCGATGTAAGTAACACAGGACTGGACTCTATCTTAAGTTCAAACTCATAATGAATCGTATGAAATGAAGGTACTTACCACATGTCCACATGGGGATTTTTTTTTGTTTTAGTGAGCTTTTTCTTTTCATTTTCCTGTTTTTCACATTGATGCTGTGGCTTAATAACAGATATTTACATTTACAGTACAATACATTGCTTAGCAAGTATCTCATGCTGGTTCAGTTGGAACTTTAAGTGTAAAATGTAATAAATTTATGTAACAAATTAGAAACAGAAGTCCTTAATGGGACAGGGCGAGAGTACACAATTTAAAACACATTTAATCAAGGCTTACAAGGTAGCAGTTCCAATATTGCATTGGGTCTCATTTATTCTAAGTTTTGTCACACAATCTCATCTGGGTCTCATTTGTTATCGGTGTGTCACATAACCACAATATTTGTACAAACATTTTGTAACATGATGGTTTTATGCTCTCTTTGCTGGATTCAGGGTTTTGCCAAATAGTCACTAAGTTTCTTCAGTTGGTGTTATAATGGTATCCAGCTACAAGGGGTTGCTAAGATCCTGTTTTTAATAGAACTTATTATCTGTACGTATGTCTCACTGAAGCCACGCATGTTTGTATAGTTGTACTGTGACAATCTCGTTATCCAGCATAGATTACGACAGCGATCGCTAAAATTATTTCCTTGTATGTATTTTTGATTTGATTATCGATCAGTCTTGGATCACTTGTCGGCTTAGTTTCCCAGTTCCCGTTCACGCTCTCTGTCGACACGCGTCATTTTTCTGCTTCACTGCTCCAAGATCCGTGTTTCTTTGGCCTGCGTCACCACATCGCCCTCGTCTCTGAAATCCGATCCTACGTTTGCAGGCCGTGTCCCGTCTGGTGATGACCCGTTTCCCAGAATGTTCTCCAGGTATCGAAAAGCACTTAATGGCCTCGAATGAGCTCGCTAACACAGTATCTTCATGCTAAATTGTGAAGCTGTCAGTTGACTTACAGTAAACAAAGTAGGCGTCAACAAAAGGTTGCTTGCTCAGCTACCTGAAGTTCAGAGAGGTATTGGGGATAGACCTAGCCACCCAATCGCCTTCCTTCGATGCTTCAATTCCTTGCGCTGAAACACTTATTGGATATTATGCCCTCTTTGTGGAGTCGTCATGGATATCTGACCAAAAACATATGGATAATCCGCCTTTGTAGGGTTGCTTCAATTACTGTAAAGTGATGGTGTCCCAATGTGTGAGGTCACAGGTCACGCCTGCAAATTTGCGATGATGCCATCAAGGCTTCCCACTCTGGTCCTTCAATTGCACTTCAGAAGGCATCAAAACCCTGTCACTGGATCCTATAGATCTGTGTTTGCCTATCCGGACTTTGGGGACCCACAGACAGTCCAACTTTTTGCTCCCTCCCAGCTCCAAAATGTGGACTGTCTGGCAGGGAGCTGGGAGGGAGCAGAAACATGGACCATCTGCAGGTCCCCGAGGATTTTTAACCTATTTTAAAGTGCCAGACGAGGCACTCCGCTGTGGCGGAAATGGCATGGCAGCGGGAGAAAGCGATGGCCACGTCGAAAACAGGCAAAAGCCTCTGATGCTTCTCTGCAGTTCCTCTAAGCGGGTTACTATGAATGATCAGTGGACGTGGTTAGCGTGCCCCCCGGCTTCGATTTTCCATCCGGAACGTGCGCGCATACAACCGCAGGAAGTCGGCAGGGGTGGGGGTTGCGTACGCCACCATAATTAACCTGCCCTTGGCAGCTCCTCTGTTTGAAATGCAGATGACATCTGAAAGAGACGTCCGGCCCAAAGATAGACTGAGATGCGTCTGATTATTAGAACCAGAGGTGGACGCCCCTATGTGTCCAGACTCAATCTGCAGAGTTCTTCCATCCATTGGTTTCTTAAAATGAGCCGTTCGCTATCAACCTCCCCCCCCCCCTCCATGGACCCACACCCCCAAAATCCTTGTGCTTTTGTTCATTAAGAGTAGTTCTGGTTCATAAATCACCACACCAGTGATGCCATAAACCATGAATTGTAGTGTCTGTTACAAACCCCCTCCACCCCTGCATGACCAGGAATAGCCTGTAAATGTAACACATTTATACATTAATTGCTCGTTAGACGGTTTTATTACCCGCATAGGTCAACGAGTTGCCGGAAAACCCATCTTGCTTTTTTAAAATTGCATTTTATTAACGTGTCTTGACTTCTCTTGTTTCGTTGTTGAACAGATTCTCAGTTTGGAGGCAAACCTATTTTTTTACGATCTAGAGCTCTTTTAAGAAATTAAAGGTGTATAAATATAGAGTTGTATTTATAACTAAAGATATACGTGTAAAGGAGAGCTTTGGTGCGAATCTGAATTTCAGAGCACACAGATGAGTATTGTCTTGCTCCCAGCCCCCAGTAGAACCAGTGGTGTCTGCGCATTCTTAGGTGCTGTACATAGAACCAACCTTTTTTTATTGGTGTGTTAAATATATGTAATTTGTAATAAAGGATTTACCAAATGAGCAGAAGCCGACGTGTGTGTGATGCATTTTCTGTTCTCTGCATCTCTGTGACTTATGAACGGCGGTCTTTTGAGGTACTGCCTACTATAGGCTAAAGTATATATATAGGCTCAGTAGGAAAGGTGAGAACTGCGGTTTATCTCTGTTAAATCAGTCTGTAAAACATCTTTAAATAGCCGAGTGGATCAAAATACCACTGCTTTGGGTAATGGAAAAAACATTGCAACAATTAGACGTCCCAGTCTCCATGAGTAACGTACGTCGTCTTATAAACAATTCATTATCTGCGGCCTGATTTTATGGATTTTCCAGACATGCCTTTATAAATACATGAGTCACGTATATACAAATTCGTCTTCTAGAACAACCCCACGAAGCCAGAATACGCAAATTTCAGTGAATATGTTTGTTATCCTATCAGCTGTGACATTGTTACTGCAATTTCTGGCCAGAATGTGTGTACAAAATCAACACTTAGCTGACTCCTGCAGAGTGACACTTGCATAAACTGCATCAAGGACAGCGAGGTCAAGGGGCAGGTAATATTTCAAACACAAAGTGAGCGGTGAGGACAGTCATGCGTCTCACACATAAAACTTTTGCATGAATCACAGGGGGGATCTGATTCAACTGTCACCTGTGCATGTCACGTAAGGTGAGACTTTCTTAACCTTCTGAACCCCACATGACCCTTCTGACACCGAAAATATACACCTGCTCGCAAAAGACGTGGCCATCCGTATAAAGTTACACATGCCCAGAAGCTCCTTTTCCTGACTGTGCTACACAGTGCTACAGGTGTGACACACCCACCCATAGAAAGATTTATTTATACTATTCTCTACATTTTAGAGTAAAGACAACAAAAGTATAAAATGACATATATGGAATAATGCAATCACCAAAAAAAATAAAAAAATCATTTGTTGGGGGCGGAGGGGGGAAGCTCTGTGGGTTTGGACTCGAATGAAGGTTGCTGGTTCAAATCTCGCAGTCAACAGAGTGATGCCACCACTGGGCTCTTGACCAAGGCCCTTAACCCCAAGACCGGCTGACCCTACTGTCTCTAGGTAGCTTTTGTTGTTCTCTGCTGTTCTTTGAGTGGTTTGTATCTGATCGATATGCAAAATGAAGAGGTGGTTTCAATGTTTGTGAAATTGATTGTTTTTTTGGCGGTGGGGGTGGGTTTAGTATTGTTGGTGGAGCTCTTATTCGACTGATTATAGGCACCTATGCTCATGACTGACCAATCGAGTGAGAATGTATACATGCCTTTCTCAGTTCATTTGTATCATGCCCTGAAGAAGGCACAAACTACTGCATTTAAACTTAAGGACTGCCTTGATTATACTTTTCAAGATAGAACATGCCTATAACTTCCCTCCAAATCCATTTGTAATGTGTATAGGTCAGGTGACCAGGTCATGTGCTGTAACACTCTATCCTTTGGAGACGGTTTGGTTTGTCTAGTCTTTTGTCCGGTACTGTATGTTAAGGAATATCGGCACGTCCTTCACCATTCACTGCTTCGTTTAGGAAAACGGCGATGCCACATCTTTGTTTAAATGCTGCCCTGCGTCTCCCCTTCCTTTCACACCATATTAACGGATGCGGCTATTTGTTAGTACATTTCCTGCCACCCAAATGTTCAGCGTTTCCACACATATGAAAGCAAAATGAATAAATCCATCACAGATCACCAAGGTCACGGCCCGTCTTTGCCAAAATGATCCTGAACATCTGCTGGATGTGTTGGAGATGTGTATTTCCAGCGTACCATAAATTATATAATCAATTTATTTTCTTTTCTAATTTAACTGTAAGCTCACGAAGACAAAATAATCGTTTCAAAATGCGGTTTGTATTAGTGAACACAAGTCCACCCCTCAGAAGATTTTTATGTGGAAACGAGAAGAAGAAGAAACTTCTGGAAGTGAACAGGAGGGAGGTGCATTTGCCTCATAACTGTGACACAAAACAAATAGCTAGCTAGACCAGTACTTTGTTGGGCATTCGGCGAGGAACTAGGCCAGATGAACACACTTCCTGGCTCAGATTGCCAGGAAGCATTTGTGAGTTGGTATAGCGCCATTACAGTCCCTACATTACACCACAAGAAGCTACTCTCTGGGAGACTGGCATTAGGAGTCACTCAATACGTAAGAAACCGACTGCTCTGCCCGACCACGGGAAAGCTTAGCACACGGCCAGGCTTCCCCCACAGAGCGCAAAATGACTCGTTGGGGTAACGGCAGCTCTAAAATCATCTCCCCCCACAATAACCAACAGCACACATGCTAATTATTCTGTTGCTCAGGCAAAAAGTAAACAGACATCTATCAAGGAGGGTATGAACAATGTGTTTACTGAGGGAGCTCTCTCCCCCCCTCCCCGACGGTTTTTCTGCCCTCAGTCCGACGCACAGGAATGCGCATGTTTAACTGCGAGTTCAGGTTCAGATGGATGCTTCGGTTCAGCTGTGGTCGAAACGCAAACCAAACCAAACAAATCGGTCGCAATTTTCCATTTGATTAAGGAGGAGCCGGTTGCGGGAGGATATGCAGGCCGTTTGCAGCACTCGGAGATGACCCAGGCTGAGTTAATTTGGACTGGACCATCTCCGGTGGTGGGCCGGCGCATCCTGTGATCCGATTCACCTCATTTCTCCCAGACAAAGAATCCTTTGCCCCTGGTCTTTTGCCGACCACCTGCTGTGGCATGGCTGCTTAGGCACCCTGCCAACATAGCACCAGATAAATAAATATTGTCCAAGGGACTCCTGCCTCTTTGCCGTCACTGAACGCTGACCTTTTTCCGTAAATAGTGCTTAAAGTAGCCCTGTGTAGCTAAGCCTTCCGTGTGGAATTTTAAAGCATGTAGTTACTCTAAAACCAATATGTAGAATGTGACCTCTGCTTAGGGACTAAGATGGATTTATCAAACTGCATGATAAGCAAAAAACTAAATAAAATAAAATAAAAAAAAAACAACAGCACCTTTGCCAGAAGGAACTGGGTGCCAAGCAGTACAAAGTATTCAGGAACTTGTATCTCAGATTTGAGTTGCAAACAGAGGTGTTGCTCCATTGAGAACTAACTTGCCATAGACCAACACTCTACTTTTCACTGCAGGAGGAGCAGTCTAGTCTAGCCAATTAAGGTCTAATTAAGGAGAAGAGGGAGCTCAGGGTATGGAGAAGCGTAGTGGGTCTGTCGAGTGTTTCTCTCTCCCCCTTTCCATTTCCTCTCCTTCTGTGTCTCTCCTTCCTTCTGGTTAAAAACCATAATTAAAAATCAGCGCTCCCGTTTTCCACATCTGCTCTTCTGATTTGGATATGCCTCAGTCCTCTTCTGGTTAAACAAACAGTCGAATCTCATTGGATATTTACTTAACAAAGCAAAGCTAATGACTTTGCATTTTCACCTGTGGCCTCCATATGTTAGAAAGTCTAAGATGTTTCATAATTTTGTAATCACCGAAGTCCTTATGAAACATCACGGCTTACGAGACCTTTCCTAAAATGGCAGCCGTGAGTTTCACAATGGCAGCATCTGGATACATTTCTCATTCACGTCACACATGTCGGCCTTGGTTGCCTGGCCTCTGTCTGTTCCAAAAAGGATGCTGCGATCATCACGTTATATCGAGGCGCGGAGAGGCATGTAGACCTCAGCTGCTTTGATTTATTCCATCAATTATCTCATGAGATCTGAAAAACCATTCAACAGTGAAGCTACCACCCAGAATCCTCCTGTGCATCCTGCCACCTAGGCCCAATAGTAGCAGATGAGCTAAGGTCTGTCATAGTGAACTGACCGCAGAGCCCAGGGGTTTGCTAGTTTGGACACTCCCTTGGTTTATGAAGCAGAAGGATTCGATTGAGATGCAGATGCAGGACGGATTGCTCTGCCCTTGAAGAACAACATGGCTGGAATCAGTTTTATTGGTAACACTTTACTTGACGGGGCACAAATATTTAGTGATAACTCAGTTATTGCTGAAGTACAAATTATGAACAAATCATGAACAAATATAGTTGCTACTTGAGATAAAAGATGCGTCACGATTCATTAATGATGAACAAACATGACATCAGTATTTCAGTCACTGTTATTTATTACTTGTTTCTTCAGTAGTTCACAAATGTTTACAAAATTAACAGGTATAGTAACAAATATAGTAACTGCTTGATAAAACCTATGTCATGGTTCATTAATTAATTAACATGAGCTAAGTATGTAACTAAGACTTAGTTTGTGGTTAATTAATACATAAGTAATAGTATAATACTATATTGTGCTGCATCGTGTTACTATTTTATTATGTTGTGTTGTAGTTTGATAATATTGAAAAGCCCAAAAATTTGTATTGTTGTAGAACATTTTCAATAGCAAGATATTCTAATTTGTGATATTCTTGTCACTTTTAATGGATTAATAGTCCAAAATTGGCATCGTGCAGAAAATCAGTATATTAGCTCAAATCCTTGCATTCGATAGCACAGTCATAATGATTGTTGTATTAAAGTTTACTAATCACCAAACATACAGACAACCCTGACTGGCTTTGTAGTCCACACCTTTGAAAGTGCATTAGAAGACTTGATCTCCAGACACTTATAGTTAGAAAAACATTTATGGTCCTGTTGGGTTTCAGAGCTGTCGATGATTTACTGATAAAAGATATTGCCCCCAGTATGTGTGTCATCAAGATTCATTGTTCTTCTGACTTTATCTAGCTGTTGTAAGACAGCAGATAAGACTATCGCACAAGGTCTTCTGTGAGATGGTGTGCAGTGCAATGCTCACAGGCAAGTTATAAATCATGCCCCCCTCCTCCCCAGCAGAACTTTGAAGACCTTTGTTGGTCTTTATTGACTCTCCAAAAAATCTTCCCAGTTTACTCAACTGATGTAATAATAATGAAAAAAAAAAAAAAAACGTCTGGAATCAGTTACTCCCCGCATTCCTGTCTTTGATTGTTTTCCTGCTCTATTTATCCTTTGCTTGTAGCTATAGCCTATTGAGAGGGTTTTGGCACAGGATCCTCATTAAGAAAGCAGGGTAAAGACAAACAGACAGCAGAATGTGATAAAGGCCATGGGCTCTCTGGCTATGGGAATCGCCTTTAATGTAATCAATCACACACAAATGATCAAAGTCCCTCCGACAAAACAATGGCGTCCCATAAAGAATCCGACCCCTCCCACCAGGAACAGTCCGTAAGATAGCAGACACGGAATGCAGCCTACACACTTCGCCAGTCTTCTAAGAACTGGGAAATTGCCCCAAGTGGTGAATTTTCAGTGCAACCCTCTGTTCACATTAATATTGGAACCCCATTACTGTCTCATTATGGTTTTACTGGGATTGCAGTGAGGGGGGGGGATTCTGGGTAGTACAGAAAGCTTGTGGGCATAGGGAGCTTACAGCGATGCCTGATGTCACGCTCAGTAGTGTGCCATCCTTACCAGAAAAGTGAACATAACATCCACCACATGTATACACAGTCTTGGTTGCCCATTCGGCGAGTTAGGCGGCTGCCTGAGGGGGCACCAACTTAGCAAGTCAATATACACTATATGGACAAAAGTACTGGGACACACCTGAATCATTGAATTCATTCTGAAGAGCTCAGTGAATTCAGGTGTGGTGAATTCAACTGTAATTAGTATTATTGCAAAGTGGAAGCATTTAGGAACAACAGGAACTCAACCATGAAGTGGCAGACTGTGTAAAGTAACAGAGCAGGGTCGCCAAGTGCTGAGGCCCATAGTGCATAAAAGTCGTCAACGCTCTGTTGACTCAATAACTGCAGAGTTCCAAACTTCCTCTGGCATTAACCCCAGCTTAAAAACTGTACAGGGGGGAGCTTCATGGAATGGGCTTCCATGGCCGAGCAGCTGCATGCAAACCTCACATCACCAAATACAATGCGAAGCATTGGATGAACTGGTGTAAAACATGTTGCCACTTGACTCTGGAGCAGTGGAAACATGTTCTGTGGAGTGAGGAATCATGCTTTTCTGTGTGGCAGTTTGATGGATGAGTCTGGATTTGGTGGATGCCAGAAGAACATTACCTGCCTGACTGCATTGTCCCAACTGGAAAGTTTGGTAGAAGAGGGATAATGGAATGGGGTTGGGCTAGGCCCCTTAGTTACAGTGGAGGGAACTCTTAATGCTTCAGAATATAGACATTTTGAACAATTCTATGCTTCCAATTTTGTGGGAACAGTTTGAGGAAGGTCCCCTGTTCCAGCATGATTGTGCCCCAGTGCACAAAGCAAGGTCCATAAAGACATGGTTAAGTGGTTTGGGTGGTTTGGTGTGCAAGAACTTGACTGGCCCACACAGAGCCATGACCTCAACCCCATCAAACACCTTTGGGATGAACTAGAACAGAAGTTGTGAGCCAGTCCTTCACGTCCAACATCAGTGGCTGACCTCATAGATTCTCTTCTGGATGAATGGGCAAAAATTTCCACACACACACTTCATAAACTTGTGGAAAGCCTTCCAAGAAGAGTGGCAGCTGTTATAGCAGCAAAGGGGGGGATCAACTCCATATTGATGCCTATGGATTTAGAATGAAACGTCATAAAAGTTCCTGTAGGTGTAATAGCAAAGGGTCCTAATACGGTGAAGCTTGCATGGGGCTCCACCAAGGCTTCAACTGGCAGGCCACTCCATCAGTGGGCACACACACACAGTCATGTAATCATTTCTTTTTGGGGGCCACTCATTCATTTCTATCGGAAAAATGCTAATGCTAACTACGACAACCTTAACCCCTACGCAGCCCTAACCATAACCTTAAGTAACCAAACAAAATGTGATTTTTTTTTTTAGTTTTTTCATTGCAGTCATGGATTTTAATAAAATAGAGTTTTCCGGTATGGGGACCAGGAAACTGGTCCCCATAAAGTAAAAAGAACGGGTATTCATCACGTGGTGGGGACATTTGGTCCCCACAAGGTAAGGTATACCTGGACCACACACACACACACACACACACACACACACACACACTCAGGGCAACTTTGTGTCACTATTTCACTTAACTGCTTATTTTTGGAAAACAGAGTGGCTGGAAGTAACCTGAGTACCTCTATGAATTACCTGAGAGGGCAACTTCGTGTCACTATTTCACTTAACTGCTTATTTTTGGAAAACAGAGTGGCTGGAAGTAACCTGAGTACCTCTATGAATTACCTGAGAGGGGGGGGGTGACACCCCCAGCCCTGGAGGTGTTAGGTCACGGTGTTACCCACAGTCACCATCCTGCCAGAAAAGAACAGCATGCTTAACATTAAATTGTAAGCAAAATCATTTAAAAATATCTTCCACAACATATAAACGCTGTTTGGACTTCAAATGGGGAAAAGTACAGGACAGATAAAATATTTGGCACAGTTTGTACGACCCTAAATAAGACTAGTTTGGGGTCCTTTAACGGCTGCCCCTAACTCTGCCAGTTGCAAGATAACAGCCTCATTGCAAATAACAACTGTCAGCCACTCCTGGCGTAACATAATGCCAGGCAGTCTGTAAAGACGTAAGAGCCCCCCCCCCACTGGTGACAGGACCCCACAGGGTTTTGTGACCACATGTACCCGTGTGGTCGTGAATCTGGAGAGTTCCGCTCTTGCTTTCCCAGTATGTACTCTAACGTTTAATAAAACTGATTCCAGAGTGACCCAAACACATGACACAGTGGAAGTACCAAGAGTCCTTTTTCTGCCACAATTTGACTTTTAAATATTGGATTTTAGAATGGGGGGAAAACATCTGTAACCTTTTTCGTGTAAAATTTTATCTTGAGGATTATTGTAAAAGCCTCTCTTTTTGCATAATAGTTTTTTAAACCCCAAAACTAATAGGCAAGACTACTAAATTTAGTTGAAGTTAGGCCAGTAATGAGTCAATAGAAGGCACATGCTTTTTCAATTGTGGATATGTACCCCTTTTTCAAAGGCAAAACTTCCTGAAGTCTTTCTCAGATGCTGAGATTACGTTTGTACTGGGCTCTTTGCGTTTGTTGTGATCCTGCTGATGAATGTTAATTAGCTCTCTCTGCTGCTTTGTACTCCTGAGACTAATAAAAACATGAAATTAAAAGAATTTGCCCACGGTCTGTGAGTGCATTGCGATATCCTGTCCAATGTATCCCCTGCCTTGTGCCCTGTGACAAACTGGCATCCTGTCCAGATCGTCCCCTGCGATGAACTGGCATCCCGTCCAGAGCGTCCTCTGACTCGTGCCCCCTGCTGGACTGGCGTCCCGCCCATATTGTGCTTCCTGAACTACACTCTACACTCACCATAACCCTCCAATGGATAAGAAGATTAAAAAAAAGGATAGTACATGTTTTTTCTTTTTATAGCATTTTTTTTTTACATTTGAACCTAATAAGCAGACGCCTCCTAGACACAGGTGGACATAGATTGCCCTCTGCCAATGCTACATACGGGGGATCGAGGGCCCCGGCTCTCCAAAAACACAGCTGGCGTTATGGAAAACCTAATTTTCAAAACGGAGGAGTATTTTGTACATGTATTGCCGGGAGTAATTATGAATCAGGATTTCCTTGGCACTCCAACCTCAATTTAGTATAGTTTTAGTTTGAAAAGCACATTTGAGAACATTTAATATATTTTTCCAAGTACTGGGAGCAATATTCACCTCCATTCCATGAATGTGGAACTAATTCTTTGTTTACAATGGTAATAAATAGGCGATATGCTTGGCTGTGATTTTTTATTTTATTTTTTTTTTAATGTGAAGTTTATCTTAGGCTGCTCGTGCTTAATCACACACTGGATACCCCTACCCTTTTATATCAACAGACTACAACAACAAAAAACAGACTCTACCATTAAAAATCCGCCAACTGTATTACGGAAGTTCAGTTCATGTTTTAATGCCGTGAACTCCGGCTGTGTGTGGAGAGCCATCTCATTCGTCAAAATGAAAGGTCATTCTGAGGTGTTGGGGTGATGGATCACCCTCTGCGGCCTTCAGCCCTTCTGAATAGCTGGTGTAACGTAACTCAAAGCTTTTTTTATTTTTAATTTGTGTGCCCCTTTGCCCCCACCCAAATCCCCAGGCCATGCCATCCATATTAAAACGATAAAAGCCCAACACACGACCCTTGTGGTGGCCGACGGCTGACTTAGGTTCTGTTCCAGGTCGCCCAGGAATATTCGGGTTCATTTGCTGGGACTTTACACCCGCTTAATTGTTTTTCAGTTTGTTTAGAGACTTTTCTCCACTTTAGAACAATGTGGGTTGCAGCTGTTTCCTCGACATACATACTAATGCAAAGTTGTGTCGTGAGGTCATTTAGTGCTGATCCAAACCAATCTCTGAAAGTTTTCATTTCCAGATCTCAGGAATATCGGCCAACTTAAAATTAACTTTGATTAAAGTTATTAAACCGTGAAAGGTGTATGCAAGTTTTTTTTTTTTAGGTCTTAGAAAGCATTTCTTTTAAGGACTATTTTGCAAGTTAGGCTACTATTCAACAGACCCCCCCCCCCCCCCCTCCCCAAAAAAAAAACCCACCACAGCGAAATTATTTTGAAAATAATTTAATGGAAACACATTCATATTTAAATACAAAAAACTGAACGATTTATCACTTATAATCACTTGGATATTCTCTTTAATCAGCGTTTGACAGAGTTGAAATTGCATGTCAACAGAGTTCTTCGTGGACCCATTCTTGAGCACTGATGGACTGAGGGAACCTGGAAGACCTCTCGCCCCATTTTCGGCCCGTGGCAGATAATGTTGCACGTTCGGCAGTCTCTACATCAGTCTCACTAGCACACGGGTCACTGGGGACCCCAAAAAAATACTTTTCCCTCTTGGCGACCATTCCACATGCCAATTCTTTTTCCACTTTTTTTGGCGTATTTTCCAAAAAAAAGCTTAAATTAAGAATTTTTAAATTTCCCTCACAAAAACAAGGAAAATTAAGACAAATTATCACTATGTGGGACCGTCCTAAAAACAAGTTAATGTCAACATCACAGAAAGATGTCACAGGCATTCGACTTGAACCTCAAGTAAAATGGAAAATAAAGGACAATACGGAAAAAAACAAAACAAAATTAAAATAAGGAAAGCAAGACATCTGTCATTTAGCAGAGCCATACTTACGTACATGATGTAAGAGGATAAAAGCGGCCCAGATATCGGACAACCAGGAGTCCATTTGTCTTCCAAGATGCCATCCGATTTCAATGTGCTCTCAGCTGGAGAGAACACTAAGTCTGGGAGGTCTGACAACTTGCCAAGTCTGCCTCTCGAGCTAATTTAGGCTCATAATTATTTACGTCTATTTTGAGAGAATTAAATCCCTTTTTTTTGGCCGATAGAGGGACAAATTAAACTGTACCGGTGGTTCTGTGTTCCTTCTCCTGCGTTCTCTCTGAGCCTGAATTTAAGACCTCGTCTAGACTCACTCCCACCTCTTGGCACGCGTCAATGACCTTTCTCAGCTTATCAGTTTTACCTCCTTCTGCGGCTTCGTACAGCAGGCGCTGCGATGTGGGGCGGGGGTCGAGGTTCGGGGGTGGGCGACAGGATCGGGAAGGTGAGAGACAGAGACAGACAGATGGACAGGAGAGGAATGTCAGCAACGTTTCGCCAGTGAGGAGGCATGAAATTCTGCATTTTGGATCGGAAGAGGAGAGATTACATCTTTCCAGAGAGCGGCACACAGAGGCAGCTTCTGAAGCGCTTGACGGAAAAGACGGCGCACCTGGAGACACAAGAGAGAGAGAGCACCACCGGGATGTGGGACTGCAGAGAGGGGGAGTGGAACAAACACAGCTGTAGCGGCTAGACTATAAAACTACTAAACAAGTTTCTTATTGTATCATTTACTGGAAAACAGAGGAAGGTAGCAACTCGTCCCACCTCTACAGTTAGTACTGAGCCCTGAACAGAAGTTTTCACAAAACCATGTAAAGGCCAATTGAACTAGAACGAGAAGCCCAAGGTCAGGTGTGTGTCAGGTTACCGGCCTGCCTGGGGCACCTGCTCCCCGCACTCACCTCCACCTGTCCTCTGAGCTCCGTCTGCACCGCGATAGCTCTGCGGGGAGAGAGGAAGACAGAGAACGGCATTCAGCAGATGCTCAGCCAGTCAGCAGAGAAAACAGGAAGTTGCAGTAAACATCCAGAATGGGGGGGGGGTTTGACTTACATCTTCCAGGTAGCAAGGCAGCTGGGGAGGGAGCTGCACAACATCCGCGTCTGGACCTTGAGGTGCTGGATGTTGCCGTCCTGCCACTCACGCTGCAGGAACCTGAAGATGACAGTGGATAGCCCACATCACGCAGATTCAGATGCACTGTGTGTGTGTGTTGGGGGGGGGGGGGGGGGGGGGGGGGGGGGGGGGAGCAGCAGGCTGATAAGGAGACAGTCATGTGAAGCTGAGGCTGGGAGTGCGACATGAAGCCAGACAGCTTCTGATGCTCAGGCAGCACTTGCAAACCATCCTGGCCACAAGTAATGCAGAAGCTGAACAACGGAGAGAATTGGGGGGGTGGGGGGATGAGTTCGCCGAGTACCTGAGGACCAGATCAGTGTTGCTGGGCATGAGATAGCGGAGATTCTCCAGGACATAGGAATGCTGAGACTGGGGGAGGCAGTCCAGGTAGAAGGAGATCACCTGCAGATAACATGGCGAGGCCTTCAGACACAAACACACCAGAGATACAAGTTCCGGATCCCGAAGCTAACGGCTATCGGCTGAGCCAGGGGTGTGAGGACCTCCCATTATGGGTACAGCCCAACCCCCCAGAGACAAAAAAACCCCCCCAACAAAGTCAACATTCATCCCGTAGCCAGAAAAGGTGGAAGCCCGACAAATCCAGGACGGGCAAGGAACTTCAAAACATGACCATTCTTAGCAGTGTCAGCCTGTGCTGGAAATAAACCATTTTCTTTTATGGGAATTAAAGAACGTAGCAACACATTCTAGTCCTGGGAAAATGTCTTCACCGGCAAGACACCTTTCTTTATGATGGGGGAGTCAGGGAGACCCATCTCTCATTCTGCTGTCCAAGCTCAAGACTTTCCATGGACTCATCTACCTAGGTATCTGGGGGGCAGATGGGGACCAGGAGAGCAAAGGAGAAGGTACTGCTGGGTGTATTAACAGCCTGTAGCCCAAGACCGGCTCACGTTCAGTACCTTGTTGTGGAATCTGTAGTTGCTCCAGTAGTGAGTTGAGCTGAAGGGCACAGTCGTTCTAGTGGGGACTGTTGCCAGGCAACGGTGCACCAGATCCCTGAATATCTTCAGGTCTGTGCTCTTGCACTGAGGCCCAAGGAACTTACTACTGGTAAAGAGGAGATAACTGGGGAGAGAGCAGCATGGGTTAGAGCCCGAAGCAGGCTGCACTTCACCAACCCCAACAGCACACCAGCTAAAGTTATCCCCCATTGGCCCGGCTATAAACCAATAGCTGCACAAAGCAGCTAGCCTGCTAAACAATGGGTCTCATCTCATACGAGCTCCCTGTTAGCATTAGCAATGCTAGCCAACCCGCTGGGGTATTCTGAGCGGCTCATTCAAGACGGGCAGCTACACGCAACACAGGCAGGAAGGAGGCCAGCCGTTCTGGGTCCTGCACCAGCCACCAAAGGGACGGGGGCAGGTCGTTTTCTGCTTCTGGGCATAGCCCGAGGAAGAAAAAAATAAAAATAAAAAATCCACGGCACATGCAAGACGACTCAGCAGGCAAAGGTTGCAGGAGACGATGCATGGCACTTACTCCAACCACAGTTGCTGCACTGCGTCTTCTTGCATGACAGTGCCCAGTGCCCTCTCAAAGGCATCCACTGCTTCCCCGACGCCACCGTGCATGGACTGCCAAAGGCTATTTGAGAAATGACAATACAGACAGCTCACAAAGCAAAGGGGAGCTACGGCCCGACGGACCGCCGCTGCGTGGCTCCGTCCGGCGCGTCAGGGGTGCCGATGGCGCTGAGGGACTTCATGGCGTCCGCTGGCAGCCCCGCGCCCTGGCTCGGCCTCAGCGGTACTCACCAGTAGATGAGATACAAGTAAGGCGTCTGGTTGACGAGCTGGTCCTGCAGGTGACTTTTGATGCGAGGGGCTCTGAGTGTGTCCTGGACTGGGATACCAAGAATGTAGCTGCAATAAATAAATAAAATGCGACAGATGTTACTCCCATGCCTTTTTACCTTATCGCTCAAGAATTACTTGCTATGGTGTTACGTAAAAGTACAGCTTGAAGATTCATGGAAACCTCAATTTACCTAATTTACCTACAAAACCCTTCGCTTAAAATCAAAACCAGTCCTTGTTTTTCTCCTAAGGGTTCATATCCAAATATTCTGCGTTGCTTAGAAGAATCGATGCAAGTCAGGCACAGAATTACTACATGTGCAAAAATAAGTGAATCAGGCAATGCGGTTCCATTGAATAAATAATAGGGTTGACCAAAGACCCAATAAACCACAACAAAGCTTGGGTGGCCTCATATTTCCACTAAATCTGGGGGGGGGGCTTAGCCCTCCACACACAGGTGAGTAACACACCACGATATGATTCAGAGACCTCAGATGACCCCATGATGTGTTGAAAGTTCTTATCGGTTTCCAATGAAAAACAGCCAATGTAAAACGCTTCTAGATTCCTCACTCTACTGCTGCAATGTAAGCCAACCAGCATGGGAAGGTGGCCAACAGGACACCTTCTCGCAAAACACACCGCTGGTTGTCATAAATTTTCAGAAAACCTAAGACCTACCAAAAAATCTCTTTATTCCAACTGTCAAAAAGGGCAGGAAACAGCAGGGTTTGGCGCAGGTTTTTGCCTACAGACCTTGACAACTTGCCATATTTCAGGGAACCACGAGAAACAAACCAAAATTACATCAGTTGCAGTTTGCAAGCAGAAGTGCCAAGAACAGGTTCTAAAATATGAGGGTCCTCAACCATTCTGGTAAACTTAAGAGGAAACATCAGATTAAGAAATTTTACATTTCCAAATGACCCAGACCTCAAAGCAACTGAACATAATCTGAATGGTCCAGAAATGGGCCTGGAGGGATAGAACAAACAATTATTTAAAAATGGAGGGGGGGCTCAGAGATATGATTAATCGGTAACCACATGAGGAGTCTTAGCTGCTACAGGAGGGGCCAAAGACTGCTGCAGAAACTTCAAATTAATAAAAACCTTCTGTCTATCCACATAAAATATGGGAACTACGAGATACGGAAAATCCTGCACATTTGCCCTACTGCCTAGAAGCAGCCATTAAACCTTAATGACATAACACAGACTTCTATTCAACCGTAAAAGCTAAATGGCAAAGCAAGAACCATGAACACAATAAGGAAGACTCAGGTCTGGTCTTCCAAAATTGGAATTCAAGCACTTTTGACTGGTTCAAAAGGGAGATAAGACCAGCAGAATGGAACCCCTGTCTGAAGAGGCTTTTGTCAGAGGGAGAGGGTATCAGATGAAGAGCTCTGTGTTGTGGACACAGAGACCCCCGTCCGCCCTGAGGCATCCCAGAACGTTCCGTCCCATCATTCACTGCGGCCATGCCTGGGGTGACAATGCCTTTCTTTATGCAGTCTCCATGAAAGCCCAGAGGTTCAACCCTGTTCACTTCTTGTGTTCACAGTTAACTGCACACCACCTTGAGACAGTAAGATCCCCCCCCCACAAAAGACACACCGAGACTCAGGCAAATGTCCCCCCGCGTGCCGATCCACTGGGGGAGCGTGACGGCACCCGGGAGACGACTGCGGGTCTGTGTGCGCAACATCAGAACGTCGCTCAAAGGTGCCATCTCTCCGCAAACCTGCCAACCGTCACGTGTGACACGGCGCCCGCAGCCGCCAAAGGACTCTCTCTCCAGGCCGGCTCACGGTAAACGGCACAGCCAGCATGTCCCATCTCAAGTAGGCGACAGGAACCGCACTTTGTTTCTGTCCATTAGCTGCCAGGCGGCTGAATGCTGAACCACATCTATGCACTTGAGCGACATTAGCGATAGTGGTGTTGGGGGAGGGGTACGGGGAGACCTCTTAAGTAAACAACCTGACAGAACGAGTTTGAAAGCGCAGATGGGGACAGGGATTTTGGCGCTGAGAGAGTTTACTTTACAGAGAGTTGACGGCGTCTCCAAAGACTGATGGACCGAGCTGTTTGTTTTAGCGGAGAAAGGCTTCCGGCCCACAGCTCATACTGTCAGTGACTGAAATGAATTCTCTATTTAAAAAAAATTGATGGGTGACAGAAGGCACCCTTTTTAAAAAGGGCATCGGTACATCATTACGGGATGAATGAGATGACATAGGGAGAAGAGTCAGTCTGTCACTGGGGAGGAGGACCTGCCTTTGTTTCTCAAAGAACCTACCACAGCACATTTACGGGAAGCCGCTCGCCTGCCGTGTCCTCGCAGATAGACACAACAAATTTCTCGAATAGCGGCGCTGTGGCGGACGACTTCTCCTGCAGAGGGACAGATAAGATTGCATTGGACACAGAATGCTATTAGGTCATTTTAATGACGTAATCCCAGGTGGCGCTTTCAGAAGGAAAACAAAACTAAGAAAAGAAATATCATCACTCCACTAAGAGTAATATGCAACTGCATTGGAGCTCTACCAGAAAGTCAGTGCAGGACTTAAATTAATGGGTCTAATTAGGACGAGATCTCCTGGCTTTAAAGATCAGTTTCATTACCACTGGATGATTACTTTACAAAGCCGGGTTTGGTATTTACATAGGTGTCCAGCTGTGGTGGTCCAAAGGATTTATTTAAAAAGATAAAATAAAATAAAAATCTTAGCAGAACTGGACAGAGATCCCGGCTTGAATGTTCCATACTGTTCCCATAAAAGATTATGGGCAATAATGGGTTTTTCCTGGCACCTGCCAAGTTTGGGACGAGCTGACGATTATCGTCGGCTTTTCCAGACTAACCTGAGAAATGAGGAAACTGCAGGCGCGATAGAAGATCTCGGCATTGTGAGGATTCCGAGACCAGGTGCTCAGCCATGCGCTGACGGCCTGGTCCCCATGTGATGACTTCAAGTGGAGCCCCGCAAGAGCCTCCAGCAGGGGGCAGCACTGAGGACATGACTCCAGCAGCGACTCACACAGTGCCACAGCGGACTCCAACCTGCAGCACAGGAGAGGGAGTCGGCACCCATGTCCATGCCCAAGAAGTGTAACAGATGCGGTCACGACCCTTACTTTCCCAGCAGCTGGTTGAGGGCAATCAGATTGGTGTAGAGAGGGAGGCAGGCCAGAACCCGGTCACTGGGTGACAGTGACTCATCTGTGCAGTGACAGACAGCATCTGTAACACAGGACCACTGATGAGATGCCAGCCTTCCACAACATTACATTACAATGCCAACCATTGGGTCCTCCTTAACCATATCCAGCATTTCTGTCCAACATGAATAAAGATAAAGATCTCTAACCAAACAATGAGAATAGCTGATCGCAACATTCAACAATTACCTTGTCATCAACAGCAAGCATGTTAAAATATACGAGCACGTACACACCCTGACCACCACAGAGGAGTGTGTCACATCCCCGCACTCGCTCACTCATGAAGAATGTGCCTCAGAAGCGTTTCCCAGAATGCCGCATAATAAAGCCAATCATTGAAGAAACGTTTGACGCTCCCAAAACACTCGTCAAGGGGAAATCTGTGCAAACAAGACGTTTACCCGGATGCGTGAACCAGCTCTGACGGTAACAGTCTGGGTTTACCGGATTCCTTGGGGAAATCGAAGATAAATTGGGCAATTAACCCTTTGGTGACTGGGGGGAGGGGGGTGGATATTCAGGAATCTTTCCACATTATTCCTCCCTTCCAGTGACCTCTGCCTGACCCCTGAACCCCACTTTGGGTCACAGAGGGCTCCCCCCGTAAGCCAATCCTATCCAGGCCTGAGGGTCCGATAGGGTCGTTCTGGGTCACCACCAGCTCACTTTACATTTTTCCTACCCAGTTTCCTGCTTGGATTTGTTTGACACCACACACTGAACCATGAATGATCTTCTCAGCCTCCTGGGTACTGCAGGCAATGCTTCTACACGTCAGTCTCGCCGGCTGCTCACTGGGATCGAGTCCCAGGCAGGTGTAAAGCCTGACTGGGTCACCCTACTCCGTAACACGCCTATTGGCTTTCCTGCAGCCGTTAGGTCAAATCAACAGCTGTGTTCTCTTTTACAGGCCAGATTTTACAGGAAACTGAGAACAGCAGTGAATTACAATAGGGGGGAAAAAATCCAGGCTCCAGAAAAATGTGCAAAACCTCCACAACATTAATCTCTTACGAATATTTATTTTTTTACATTCTGAAGCACATAGCAGATGCTTTTGTCCAAAGTGATGAGCTAGGGCTTTGCTTAAGAGCCCAAGCTGACGTAATTTCTCTGTTGGGCACGGGATTTGAACTCACAACCTTCCAAACAAGAATATCCTTGAAGATAAAAATAAAGCGAGCTTGCTCTCGCCTGTTTGGGTGTGTTTCTGATGGAGAGCAAGATGTGCCGCGCGAAAAGACAACTTCCCCACTGAGACCAATAAAATATCCCTGTTCTCTATTCTATTTGATCTGGTCAATCCACCAGCCCGGCTCACCTTCAAAGAGGGCAACGAGGACATCGGGAGCCAAGCTGAGGTCCTGCGCCGAGCGCCAGGGCAGGACAGGGGCCTCCTTGCACACGACCCGGGAGGGACTGGCTTCGGCGGGATCGAACAGGCTGGCCGGCAGGCTGCCGAACTCGCTGAGGTGGATGTAGCAGAGCCAGGCTAAGGAGCGGTCGGCGGGGCTCAGCCGCTGGGCCAGGCTTAGGGCTTTGCCTGGGGGCTTCAGAGCGTCCTGGACCAGACACGGGGGCGGAACACTGAGACACATCCAACCACACAATCTCAAACTGAAAAATGGGCTCATTCATTATTAAAACTTGTTTTTTACTGTGGCAATACTATATTCACAGTGTGGAGGCTTTTGGTAATGGATAGTATTATGTACGTAATCTGGTAAAAGCTATTTAAATTTATATTAAATTTCATAGCAGGGGAAAAAAGGTGTTACAGTATGTTACTCGCCATTTACTGCTATTTTGTAAAGGAAATATTCATGGTGAAGGTATGGGTCTGTTCCGGCCAATCGAAACAGGCCACACTGCCCCGCCCCCTAGAGGACTGACCTGTAGGATGGCCTGGGCATTCTGCCGGCGTCCACAGAATAGGCTCAGCTGAACCCTGTACAGCAGCGACTCCAGCAACTGGAAGGACAGACGCTCGGAGGTGGTGCCCTCCGCTGCCTCCCACAGGTACTGCAGCATGCGTCCGCACACGTAGTCCTTGCAGTCAAAGGAGCTCTCAATGTTCAGATACTGTGGGGGGGGGGGGGGGGGGGGAGGAGGCTTGAAAATCTATTTCCATATTTCTGAGAAGTGCTGGCAGAAGAGTCCTGGCAAGGGAAAGTGGTTAATAGAAACATCCAGAGGCAGCGGTACCTGCCAGTCTGATTTACAGAACAGGCCTCCGTCACCTCACAGGCTGAAGGAGCTGGCAAATTTCGGAGGGGAATACAGGCCGTGACTCACTCCAGTCACCCAAAACATTCAGCAAATGTTTTGACGCTCACCCGTAACGTGCGATGAATTACCCGCCAAATCACTTCCAGTATGTGGATATAAATCATGTGAAGCGGTTTCATTGGAGGAGAGGACAAGATGGCTGGGTCAAATTAAAATTCTGACCAATCACAGAGCAGAAACTCAGGGCGACAGCCAGACATCGTGGCGACCGTGCACACTCACCTTCCACCAGACCTGGTAGTCCGGGGCGTACTCCACGGCCATCTCGCACATCTCCTGCACCTCCTCCCGCCTCGCCCGCCTGGAGAAGAGTGTCAGGTAGTGGCACCACACCTCTGGGTGGTGCCTGTTATCCTCCAGGGCCCGTGACAGAGTATTCAGGGCGGCATCCAGGCACTCCGACGCCGAGCTGGAGTGACGCGCGGGGGATGAAGACCAGCCTTCAGGACTCAACCACACTTATTATACTAATATAGAAGTTTGAGGGGGGGTAGCAGGATCCAAAAGGCGATCAGCTGTTTAACCCTTGACCAACAGCTGATCTAAATAAACGCCCACCCACCTCTCCTTCTGAGTGAGGTATTTGTAGGCTAGCTTGATCCACAGCTGTACATCTTTGGGACTCTCCAGCACGCTGGTCTCGAGGTTCGAGATGTCGTCCGTCTCGCCCGTGAAGTAGCGGTCGTCGTCCTGAGTGATGCAAGCGTCCATGACGGAGACCCCGGTCCAGCAGGCCTCGCTGCTGCTCTCTGGAGGCAGGATGGGGGGTTACAGCCCGTCAGATAAACCAGAACACAAGTTCCATTTCCAGCTTGAGCTGTACAAGGTCACTTATTTACTGCCTTCCAATCGACAGTAAAGAGGACTTCCTGTTCTGTACATGGGATTATTACGAGACGTGTCTACTTTTTTGGGACAGAAAAAAAATAAATCAAAGTACAACTAGCGAAGGTCCTATCCCTGCGGAACAAACCCAGTTTGCATGCAGGCTCTGCATTCAGACAAGTCCGATGACCTGGGGCTGCCCCAGCAGGACTTTAGCAGATGCCTATCTGCACTGCCCTCCACATAAGCATCCACTAGGGACCACGAATGGCAAGCTGGCACTGCAGACCCCCATCGACCTCAGCGCAGACGCTCTCTGCAGAGTCCAGTCTCTGAAGAGAACTTGAAGATTTACGATTCAATTATTTCCAATCCCAGGGGCTGACTGGCTTAAATGTGTCACAATTTCCTGCCGGATAAAGTAACGTTTATGACGCGTGGCATCCTCTTTCACACGAAGCAGCCCAAAAGGGTGGCACTGCTCGATTTCACTGGCACACAACTCCGGGCAGCGAGACGAGGGAAAGATTCTCAACAGGTGTACCGTCAGTGGGAATATTCAGATAAAACAGCTAACGTCCATTTCCGGCTAAACAAAACCTGGACACAGACAGCAACGACGTCGTTTGGCTACACTCACCGGGAACAAACGAACATGTTGTTGGGCAATGAAATCGTTTTTTGTACAGGCCACTTAAAACACGGCGTTCTACCTTCTCAGATGGTACAAATCAATAAGCAATAGAAATAATGAAGAACAGGTCTGCACTTAGCAGAATCAAGCTATTTTTATTATAGGTTGACAAAGGCCTAGTGAAGGAACATTTGCATTGAACCCATGGCAGATCCCTAATAAAAAGATTAAATCTTCAATATTTTGTATTATACATCTTATTAAATTTTTCCAGCTAGAAAGAACTAGGCGGTAGACATGTTAGCCAATAGCAGCTCAGTAAGCGGGGGTCCGCCCTCCCTGACGGTACCCTCTCACCGTATTTGACAGGCCCCGCCTCCTCGTCCGTGCTGTCCCTTCCGCTCTCCACAACCGGGACAGAGCGCGGCTGGGGTCTCCACTTCCGCCCGTCTTTGTAGGTGGTGAATGGGGGCACTAGTGACCAGAGGCACAAGGTGATGTCACAGACGAGTGATACGAGGTCAGACGGCAGAGCACTGAGCTCTGAGTTGAGCCGGGCTGGCTTGAGTGGGGAGGAGGGAGCCACGTACCGTGTCCCCTGCTCTCGTTCACCTTACTGACAAGCAGCACGGCCTTCTGGTCCATCCCCATGCGGTCCTTGTTTGGGCCAAAGAGCTTGCTGATGTATTTTTCTGTGGGGTGGCAGCACACATGCACAGCAAAGGTAAACAGCCATGCTAGCAGTTAGCATTCCAGGTACAGTGTGGATATTATACCCTATTGCTTACGATCAAGTAAACATGCACCATCAAAATCAAGGCAGTGGGGGTATGGGGTGGGGTTTAAAAAGCAGTTCATCAAATAATATGAAAGACTACCAAGGTACTCTACCATTGTATAGGTGAAATACCACAGAAAAGTTCATTTGATTTCACATCCATTATGCTGAGGAAAAGCTATGCATTTCTAAAATGTAAAATCATATATGGATTTTGAGGATGTCTATATTTCAGCCCTAGGATTGCAAGGGGGGGGGAAATCTCCGGAAACTTTCCATTCTATCAGAGGTTAAGCTGGAGAATTTTGGAAACATTCCAAGTTGGAAACTTGCCATGGGGGTTTATGGGAATATATGGTAATTAATGAGAAAATTCCCAGAATTTTGCAACCCTATTCAGCTCAAGGCTACATGACAAGGTATGCAAACTGACTCACTGACAAAGCTTGCACATGCTCTGAGGCATTTCGTCAGTGAGTTTTAATGTCATATTCATAATACTGAGATTACGAATGTTTTTGTATATACAGTAAAGAATAATATCAGAACCCATAATATTACTGGGGAGGGGGGAGTAGTCTATCACCTGTGGCAATGCTGATCTCTTCATTGGTGGTGTTCTCAGAACAGCCAATCAGAGGCAGGCTGTAGGACAGGATGTCCTGGAAAAGCTGGTTTCCCTTCAAGGAGCAGTCCCTCATGTGCTGCCTGCGAGGGGGTCAGAGAGCAGCCTTCCGTAAGAGCGGGAGGGGCGCGGTCATGCCAGGCCCCCGGGACCCTCAGTCACTCACCAGGGGCAGCTGTCGTCGTTGCATGTGCCGGTCAGATCAAAGCGGCAGAAGCATTTTCGGGGCTCGATGGCGTTGCTGTACGACAGGGAGCTGAGAGACAGCTTCTCCTTTGTGCGAAAATACGGGCTGAACCTGGGGGGTGGGGGGGGGGCAACAAAGACCACGTCAGAGGTCATCTCTGCGGGGCTTCCGAAGACCTTTCTGCTGAAGTTAAATGGAAAATGGTGGGTCAAACGGCGCACCTGTATGACTTGAAGGCCAACAAGGGACTGTGATACGGTCCAAACGGTGCCGGCTTCAGCTCAGGGCGGCCGGCTTGTTGGACTGCCAGATCCAGATCTGCAGGGAACTGCTGTACGACAAAATAGCCAAATAAGCTTATTTAGCTAATTAGCCATTAGCGCTACTAACGCTAATGAAACATTGTGACATTGTGGTAATTAAATCAGTAACCTCTTTCACTGCACTCATATGCATTTAACCTTAAATACCACCCTTTTTAAACTTGTATCTTGTTAAAGCAGCTAAATGATGTTTGCGGGTGCCCTAAAAGAGGAAGTTTTAATGCACCACTTATTCTTACACTCACGACAGGACGCAAGCCGGCCATGGCGTGACCTCACCTTCCTGGAGGTCGGCGTGCCCAGGGACCCGGCGGCGAGGGATGGCCCCATCTCCATCAACTCCGCCAGACAGGTGGACTGCCGGTATCTCTTCTGCAGGTCTCCCACATCGAGCCCCAGAAAGAGCTCAGGCTGGGCAAGGCCCTTCTTGCTGGGGTCAGTGGTCTTGCTGGGCGTAGCCTTAACAGGCGTGGCCTGTAGCTTGGGTTTAGTGAAGGAGCCCGACTCGCGGAAGGAGCGGCGGCGCCCGCCCGGGGGACAAGGAGACGTCATCTCGTCTTCTGCTTCCGGCTCCTCATTTGTCAGTACAAGTTTGTCCTGGGTAAGGTCATGCAGAGAGGGCTGGGGCAAGGGATAGGCACTAGGGGGTGGGGACTGGGGCGGAGCCAGCGCTGGGGACAGCTCAGCCTGCACCTCCCGGTTGCGCAGGGCCTGAGCGTCCTTCAGCATCTTGATCTTCAGGGCGTACTCTGACTCCAGCTGCTGCAGACGTTGCTTCTGGGCGATGAGCTCAGCAAACTGCTGCTCTGAACTGCGGGCAGGACCATCGAGGCAGAACAGCTTGCTGGGCTGGAGATCAGGAGCGGGGCACAGAAGCAAATTACCACAAAAGACCCCCCCTAAAGAACGCTAAGCCGTAATAGTTTAAGAGCGACAGTGGTGGGAGGAATGGGGAGCATGCATTCTGTGCTCGTGGGAGATGGGTCCAGGCAACTAGAGAAAGTAGGACTAAGACATCTGATTGGTTGGTACCTATTCCTCTTGTTACTTAAACCATCCTCCTCTACAATCTAACTGGTTCAGAGGGATAACCAATCATTTTCCGTTCTGCCCTCAGAACATTTTAACATACTTCCAGGAGCGAATCCTGTTTGTAGAGGTACCGCTTGGCTATATTTTCAATAATAGCACAGTAATAAGTACTGCACTAATATTAGCATAGCAAGATGAAAAACTGCAGCCTGCACTCACACTGAGGAAGGACATGTCGCTCTTGCGCTTGGCCCCCAGTCGCCCTGCAGCCGCCCGTGCCTGCACCAGGTCCCTCTCCAGCTTCTGGGCCAGGTGTTTCTTCACAGATACCCGGTGCTGCACTCGGTGGATCTACAGGAAGCAGGATTAACCATGCAAGGGCACCCTGGGTGAGCTCATCGCTAAACTCAGGGAGGAGGACCTCCAGCTCCCATAAACATCGGGAAAGCCTACTGAGATACTGTGCCCTCCCTGTGGCAACTAGAGACTCAGTCTGAGCACATACCACTAAGTTTTCAAAACTGACAGACTGTGGACACTGATCAGCTTGCCTTTGCCTCATGTAGACTACAGTCAGTTCATTCAAACAGGCGAACAGGCCACTGCGGAGGGCTCACCTGCTCTTGCAGCTTCTTCAGGAGGACGGTGTTGGCACTGACGATCTTTTCCGACGCCAGAAGCTGTTCCTTCAGCTTGGCCACCTTGGCCTCGGCCACCTTGAGGAACTCCTTCTTCTTCAGTTCCTGCTGGAGAAGGTGCTTGAGGAGCGCCTCGTCTTTCAGCAGCAGGTTCCTGGGCAACGGGGGAGAGGAGGACGTCTGCCATTAGCGCTACCTTATATCCCCAGATGGAAGGAACCTTTAATCCTATTGCAGAGTCATTTAGTCCCAGTCACGGTCTGTTCAGAGACAGCCCTCGGTTCCACCTTTACCGGTCTAGCACTCTGAAGCATTGAGATTAACCAAGACATCCAATACCCATATTTGTTTAGCAAGAACTTCAGGCCGATGGAGGAACATACTTGTGTTTGGTCACCCGGTTCTGCGCCTCGGTGACCTGGAACGCGGCAGCCACTGCCCACGCTTTTGGGTCCGGCTCAGGGTTCACGCTAGCAGGCGACGAGACGCCCCTGCTGGGGTCCAATTTCAGAACCCTTTGCTTCTCCCTGCTGCGCAAGGGGCCAAGAGTTTTAATAAGACCCATGTGGAATGACCTGCCCATAACCATATATTATAACTGAATAAAGGAATCACTTCACAGTCCCACGATTCCCCACATTCCAGGAGATTAGCCTGTGTGGAATACCTGGCGATTTCCTCCTTAAGCTGGCGATACTCCATCTTCTTGGCCTCCGGCAAGGCATCTGGGGTCCTCATGGGGTTATTCTCCTTCTCAGAACCCGACGTCATCTTGGGCTTTGCAGCCTACACGTCAATAAAGGACCATTAGGACCATCGAGTGACCCTGAACATTTACGGGACTCGGGCGCCAGTTTGTAGAGTCCCTGCCACACGCTTCGGGACGAAGCCGGCAGTACCTCTGCCGTCCTCCTGGCCTCCTTGATCATAGACTCCAGGCCTCCGAAGACGATGCGGGTGGAGTCGGGGGCGGCGCTGGGGGTCTCCCCCTCCGAGTCGCTGTCATCGGAGGCATTGAGCTGCACCACCACGGCCTTGTGTCGGGGCAGCTATGGGCAAAAACAGACGCCAGGCTACTTAAAACCCCCATACAGGCGTAACATCGCTTATCCTGCCTGGAGCCCTCAAAGACGAGGCCAGCCAACTCCCCTCAACGCCCTTGAGTCTGGCTTTAGCGTGCCGCTAACTGCGCACTCACACATGGACAGAACACTAATTACACGCTTCGTTTCACTGCCGAATGGCGGCCGGTGTGCATCACAAACTGAGGGGAGGGGGTACCAAACACCATCCGGACAGCTTCGCTCTGCACGTTAAATCCCTGCCAAAACTCTTTCAGGTTTGAGCGACGCGGCCGGCAGGAAGCGTCAGATCACCGCAGTCAATTTAAAAACATATTTCACTGGCTTTGGGCGAGTTAAACTGCCCGAGCCCTGGAATAAATTTAGCAAATCTAACCTGAGACTCCCGTCAAATCTGCGGAGTGAACACCCCCAGGGCGATCTGTCCTTCAGGGAGCCAGAGGTTGCTTGGACGATAGTGTGAAAAGGATCCCCCCCCCCAATCCACCCCCCAAACCCTCCCCCAACCTGAAACACCACAAAAGGAACCCACCCGAGTATGACATCACCACACAGCACAACAGAAGGACCCATGCTGTTGGGCAAGGCACAGACTTGGGCGGAATAAAAACAAAAGAGGAAGAGGAGCAGGATTCAGGTTCCTTTTAGCCGGGACAGGCCGTTGCCCGCGGTAACTGAGAGACACCAAAAACAATGTTTGTGTTCCCTGGCTTTCTAAAGCTAAACGTCTTTTTGTCCCCATTCCATCCAGCCCCATGCCGCCAGACCCGAAAACCCCAAAGACAGTGGATTCAGATAAATTTAGAAGACGCTCTATAAAAAGCTTAACAAAACGGCCGTTTTCCCATCTTTGATGACACACTAATATTCCATACGACACATGAATTTACTTGGTCATGCCGCATTACGACTCCACACTTCATCTGGCGGTGGAGGAGGTTTTTTATAGAAGGATGGGAAAACATTTTTAAGAATGACGGGAATTCCGGGCTCCCATTCAGAAGTCATGGAGGTGGTCGGATGCAAATACCCGCTTTATCCATTCAATTCATTTCAGCGAAACAGGGTGGATAAATTTTTAAACTTAAAGTTCCTCAAATATGATCACAATAAGGTTTGGGCCTCTTGTCACACTTCTACTGGAAGTACAAATAATTTCCAATATCATCTAAAAACAGCATAAACGTTTCTACTTTGATTTTTCCATGTCATTTTAAAAGGTGATGGCATTTCACAGAATTAGCAGACCGTATTTCCCTTCAAGTGTCCAAGGCTTCCAGCCCTCTCCGCAAACCTCAAGATGCCTGAGCTACACTGTAGCCAAACAGGGTAAGAGAAGCCCAACAGTATACATCTACATAGCTCCGCACAAATGTACTGAGCACTAGCCATTGTGTAACACTGACAGATGGGAAGCCATTAACGTCCTATTCTGTTCTCTCAGCTTAAGGTGAATTCCACTCAAAGATGGGGAGGGGCATATCATATCCACCAACAGTGACCATGGCTCTGCAGGGTAGGTCTCCGTGCATGCGAGGTCGGCAGTATGAGCCCTGGTTTTGGCAGAATAGTCCCGTCTCTGGTGGGCCCTTGAGCGGGGCCCTTAACCCCCCCCAAATGCCTGACCCTGCGTTTGGACCTCAAGCCTCACTATCATATACACACATAGTCATTCCTGCTACAACACTACTAACGCTTTCCTGAAAAACCTCTCATTCACTAAAAACATGCAGTAAAATACACAACCATGACTCCAAAACATAGTAACTTACAAACAAACACAATGAAATAAGCAACAAAAACAGGGATATCAGTGACCGAGTGTGTAATTATGTGAATTTAAAATTAGAAAGAACATTATTATATCATAAACGTTGTATATGGGTCTTAGGAGTCTCGAGAGTTGCCTAGTGACCACTTCTACCGAACGTGCCAAAGTCACTAACACGTCGATTACAGAGAGTTGGGAATAGTGAGTCAGAGCCACCATTCGGCGGCATGAACAGATTACGGTAAACGGAGGGGTGCTGAAGGCAACATGGCTATAGACTGTCGACCAAACGCAAATGTAAGCGAATTAAAAAAAAAAAATAAAAAAAAAATTAAAAACACTTCTATATAATTTGTCAAATACTTCTAGATTTAGAATCTAAGGCTGAACTGTGCAATGCGTGGATGTAAAAATTTTGATTCTTTTAGACGCACGCATGCACACACAGATATTCCTATACTTGTGAGGACCGTTCATTCATGTCAGTCCCAGTCATGACACCCTTAACTCCTACCCAGCCCTAACCTTAACCATAAGTAACTAAAAATACAAGACTTTTGGCATCTAGTTTTTTGATTGCAGTCACAGATTTTTAATGAAATTAAGTTTCATCTTTCTGACTGGCCTCTGGTCCTCAAGGTGTTTTATGTCAGGATTTGATGTGGGGTTTTTTCTGTGGGGGTGTGTGTGTCATTTTCACTGGCACAGGACGTACCACCAGGAGACGGCGAGAGTGCCCGCGGGTGAACTTCACACTCTGGCCCCGCGACTGAGACTCGGCTAGGCCGCTCTTGGGCGCCGCGTGGAAGACGGGGCCCACCAGGGGGGATGGAGGGTCGCTATTGCTGGACGTCTCCTGTGGAAGGATAAACACGGTGGAAACGACGGCTCACTCGCTTAGGCTGAGGCACAGATCCTGAGTGATTAATGGTGTTTTAACCTGATCTCTCAACACCAGAGGCAGGAAGGAAATGTTCTGTTCATTACAGCGCAGTCTGACATCAGACACAAATCGATATCTGGCCAGCATAACTATAACCTCCTCTATTTAAACTTTCTGCATAAACTAAATTACCTAAACAACATCGATTCAACCCGTGTTTGGCAGGGAAACGATTAACAACTCATTAACGAAAGCGTTTTTCTCCCAGACACTATCATAAACGTATCAAGCTATAACCACATAACATGGGAAAGAGTGCCCTCTACAGGCCACATGGAGAACTGCTCAGGCGTCACGATCCCCACCTCAGATTTGACAGCACGCTTGTTGGCCAGGGACTTGAGCAGCTCCTCCCGCAGCATCATCTCTTCCTCCTCCTCTTCATCAGCAAAAGGGGGTTTGGGGGGCTGCTCAGGTTCATCTGGAGGCAACGGGGGCAGGGGCGGGGGGGGCGCCATTGATGCCAGGGCAAAGGGGTCCAAGTAACGATGGTCGACATCTTGCAGAGCCTGAGACGAGAAGCGACCGAGGTCAGAAAAAGTCCTGCTGGGGCAGGACCTCCATGAAGTCTACAATGCCAGACAGCCAACACACAAAGCACCTTCCGTCTCCACAGCGAAGCTACGAGTGTCAAGCGAGCCTTTTGGAACAGACACCCACCGTGCTGTGGGGTGGAGAATCCACAGGAAACGCCGGTATCTGATGCAGGAACGGGGGGCCCTCACCCAGAAAGGGCTCGCGTGTGGGAGAAGCAGCTGTTCGCAAAACACATGAAAGAAAATCTCACCCGCAAGGCAAGGACAGCCAATTTCATCACTACTCTCACAGAAATACAACATGCATCACTGCCATTTGGGTCACGAACAGGAAGCAGAGGGGAAAATCAATGCGGAAGCTTCTCCCCTACCTGGTGAGCTGGTCTCGCTGTCCGTTTCCATGGCCACCTCATCGTAGTTGTCATACTGGTAGAGGTTTCCGGAGATATCCAAGCCCTGTTTGCCCAGAGACTTCCTGTGTTCGGGATCTAAGGACTGGAACAGAGAGTACCGGATCAGGACTGCAACATCCATCACGGCGGAGCCAAGGCTGCTCCGGCTAAACCTGAACGCTATGGCTGATATCCACGCCCAGCTCCATGGAGACCATGTTTACTACACCAGTGGGCCACTGGGACTGCCATGAATCATACTGGGAAGGGTTGTGCCTCATACTCTGCCTTTGTTTTTAATCATCCTTCGAGAGAGTAATGATCATTCTCGTGCTGCTCAGGTGATTCCGTAGTTCAGACTTAAAGTAAAGCATGTGTCTGTTAAGGAGTATTATGTACTGAGGAGGTAAAATGTTTTATGTTAAATCATACTCCATTCATCCTCTTTGCACCCATTCATGCAGTGCAGGGTCACGTGGAGCCTGGAGTCTATCCGAAGGAGCTTGGGGAGAGGCAGGATTACACTACCTGCATGTCTGGAGTCTACAGAGGAATCATTTACATCACTTTTTACATTTATAAACTTAGCAGGTGGTTTTGGTTAAAGTGACACGAGGAAAACTTGGAATCAACGAGCACAACTAGATGATAAAAGGTCCTTACTCAGGGGCCCAAGAGTGAATACTGCCAGCCACGGGGTTTGACCCCACAACCTTCAGGATGCAGGCACAGGTGAGTGGGGGACATGCAAGCCCTTTTGTTCCCCTGCAGCCATGAGTCTCATGCAGCTGGTCGAGTAGGACGCTGCGGGGCTAACCTTTCCGCGCGGCCGCCGCTGGCCCCCCACCAGCTTCATGAAGCGGTTGTACTGCTCGTCCTGGTTGGAGAGGTCGCGGATCTTGCGGATCTCGTCTTCCCGCTTGCGTCGCTCCTCCTCCTCCTGCTGCTCCTTCTGGTGCTGCAGTTTCCAGGTGCGCAGCTGCTGCTTGCGCCACGCCTGCTTGGCTGCCGAACCTGCGACCGGGGGGGGCCCCCATGTCATTCATTTTTATATAGCGCCTTTCATTTTGTTTATAGTGCCGCCAGGGCGTCCCATCCAGAGCAATTCCCTGCCCCAAGGCCTATGCTGCCCAGGAGAGGCTCCAGGCCACCCGGTCTTGGATAAAGACAGAACATTGACTGACTGAATGCTTTTAATGACTAATCTATGCAAAATATTCGCAGGATACAAAGCCGGCGACAACCTGGATGGGAGACCAGACCAAAAGGGAGACCAGCACAGCGGTTGTCTCACCCGGGCTAACGTTCTTCTTGCCCTGGTGAGCCTTGGCCGCCGCCTTGCCTCTCTCCTGGGCCGGCTTGGCCTTGATGATCTTCTCCTTGCTCTCCTTCATAACCTGCTGCTCCTTCTGCTGCCACTTCTTGCTGGCGGACTGCAAGGCCAGCAGCCGCAGCTGCAGCTCTGAGAGCTCGTCGTCCTCGTCCCGTGGCTGTAGGTGCGAGGGGAGAGGCGGCCAATAAGAGGCTTCTAATTGGCAGAGGTAGCCAATCGCAGGATCATTCATACAAAAAGGAGCCATGCATTAATTACCCAAAATATATTGTATGCGAAACGATATCTTGGAAGAAAAAAACAGAACAGAATGCTGGTTTACACAGCTAAATGCCAAGACATTTTTGTGCAGTTGTCCGTGCTCGCATGCACACTAGGAGGTGCTAAAAGCACTGTTCACAAGCTAAAATGGAACCCCACCTTTGAATAGTGATTCATCCCAACTTTGACATAGTAAGACAGGGAATTCCAGTTTCAAAATTAGCCCCGGATGTAACAACTCGAGACAGAATGTTCTGAACAGCTTCAGACAACAGTATCTCTGAATTATGCAGAGATGAAATCCCTACAACTGTCAAGAAATTGTTCATCTGTGCGCACTGCCTTGACACTTTTTTCAGTCCCCTTGGGAAAAGAAAGCAAGCATGCGAACAGTATAAAGATACGAGAAACACTAGATACGCAAATTACTGAGAGATTACTGCGGAATATAAGGAGATGTAGCCGTAAACACGCTTGGCGTCCTCCAAACCAGCACTATGTATTTTTCCACATTTGTGAGTTACTAACTTTCTGTGTATCGCCTGTGGCTTTTGCAAAAACTCCCAAAAAAAAATCCCATGTAATTTCTTATGCCGACCCTGCGATATATCAAAACTGCGATGGGGAAAGTCAACCAACTTCTTTTACTGTACATTACATCACATGTGAAGTGAGTCTTACATGAGGACTGTACTGGACAAGGAAGGAAATAGCAAAAACAAAAAATCACTTATGGGCCGTGTGACTTTCATACCAAGAGTATGAGTCTTCAATCACCAACAGAAAACCACTTCCCACCACAACAACATTTTTACCAAGTTATATTCATTCTTCTTTCCCTTTCATGTTGAAAGGCAGTGATTAAATACATATAGGTTACCCAGATCACTTGGGCATTTATATACATCAACAAACATACATTCTATTTCGAATAAAATGTTTGGCTCTTCGGTTAAAAGACTGAAACTGGTGACAACCAGGGAGGATCATTATTGCACCACATTGGAGGTCACGTGACTCATGTTTGGGGGTTGGGAGACAAATGTTTGACATCACCTAGAAATTACTGTAGAATTTCATAGAGAGTGATTTCTATGTGTCAACAAAAGGCCTAAAGTTAACTTATTAGCATTTTTATTACCTACATGCCTTATCGTGGCTTGTGCTTCTATGTATCTTGCCTAAAACTTAAAGCACCAGTTCTAAATAATCTAGCTCCCCTTATAGCAATGATTCTCAAACCGATCCTTGGCAACCCCAAGAATATCCATGTCTTTGCTCCCTCCCAACTCCTGTCAGGCAGAGAGCAGGAAGAGAGCAAAAACATGGACTGTCTGGGGGTCCCCTAGGACCGGGTTGGGAAACACTGCCCTATAGCACCTGAAATGTTAAATCACTGGCACGGTCTCTGATGCTGCATCAGTCGGCCATCCGTAGCACCCCAAAGGCTGTCAGAAGACCAGGGGCCTGGAGGTTTCAGACAATCACTCCTATTTGCCCTTGCTGGCCCGTTTTCTCTCTCAGAAAGCCAATCACCCGACCACAGGCAAGACAGCAAAATGCTGATTGGTGGACAAATGCCTCTTGGAGCCTTTGAGGCAAAGGAGTAGCTGTTTGGATGAAAGTCAATTGGGACACGCCAGTCAGTTTAATGTGGAAAACGAAACTGATCAGATTCGACAGCATCCTCAGCTACAGCGGCCCCCTGACCTCCATTTTACATCATAAACATGGCATCAGTGAACCCATTTAAGAAGAGTCACACTCCTAGTCAAGTAAGAGACCTGTCAAGTTAAGCATGGCCTGTTTGCGCTTCTGTTTACCTTCACAGGAACACCAGCACGATCCTTGTCACTCACAGAAGATATATTCGATAAGATGATATCAGCTTCCTCCTTTTCCTCATCTTCCTCTTTGTCTTAAAGATAAAAAAAGTGTCCCTCAGAAGAACATGGGAAATTAGAATGATTACCCAGCATGCTTTTCATGGGATCCACAGTCTGAGCTGTGTGCCAATTTCAAATTTTTTATTACGGAAGCAGAGACGTGAGCAGGTTTCTGTCACACGCCTATGCCCAGCTGTTCAGGAAGCCAAGCGGATTTAGAGTGACGGTCTGTACCTTTCGTCTCGCTGGGTTCAGTGGGACTGGCCCCCTCCAAACCGGCTTTCTCCGGTTCTTTGGTGGTTTTCTTGTTCATCTTATCACGCTCTGCAGGAGTTGGCAGCTTCTGCCTCAAAGGCCTGAGATTAAAAGCCTGAAAAACCTTCTTCACCCTTTCTGGACACACTGATTCTTCAGTGGCTGCAGCAGCTTCTGTTTTAATACTGTCCTCCTTCGACCCTGGTACAACATTAACACTTACGGCGGCCTGCTCTTCTTTTGAAGAAGATTCCTCCTTAGGCTTCAGTGCCATCTTCTCCTCATTCCTAATGCACTCCAACTCCAGTTGGATCTGCTTGTACTTCATGAGCAAATCCTCAAAGCTCTCATCAACACCATTTTCGGCTTTGGCAACATTATATGCTGGCTTTCGGGCCTGAGTCCTCCCGAATACCTTTTCTGAAGGCTAGAGTCAAGGACCAACATATTTACTTGTTAACATAATATAGAATGACTCCACACATTGGTCAATACACGCCTAAGAAATGGTATCAAGCAGTCCAGCCTAGTTTATTGGGTGGGGGGTAATGGATCAATGTATGACAATGGTCAACTGGACAGAACCAGGACCATAAATCGGATCTCGTTCTCCGTGCAACCATCTATGAAATCTGGTAATGAATATATTTCAGCTGCTCTGGGGACAGCAGAAAGATCTGGAATAAGTACGTAGTAAAAATAGTTTACTAAAAAAAACAAAAGCCATGTAGAAAACTCTTATTACTGTGTAACCGCAGTTAAGACGCCCATTTTGTACGCCATCTGTAGGTCAGAGACACACGCATCCGAAACGGGTGTAGAAAGAAACTGGAGATCGTGGTGAATCATCACGAACCGTGTGCACCGTGTCCTGTGCTGTTACACAGAAGGGATCGCTGCGCATTTTCTGCATGTCCCAGCCTGTTGCATCGATGTATCAGACAGGCACGTTACATTATAAATACCTGAATCGTCAGAAAGATCGTTTGTATCTTAACCGTGACCGACAGAGCTGGTACTCGAGCGACGCCGACATTAAAGGATACGCTTTCTCAGCGGGGACTCCTTCCTGTTGTTGTAGTTCTCACCAAACTCGAAGCGGCCCGGGGGAGGCCTCGCGTTCTCCCTCCCTCCCCCACCATCTCCCCAGGCTCCCCGGTTCCAGTCCCCGCGGGGCTGATTCGGCTTCCCCCGGTACCTCAGTCGGCCCAGAGCCGTGTGGCTCCGCTCCCAGAATGAAGACCGAGGGCAGGGGTCGCCGTGCTGCCCCGGGAGCGGTCGGTCCGGCCCGCTCGGTCCGCCCAGCAGTCTGTGAGGGGGTAGGAAGGACGGGTGCGGGTGTGAGCCGCGATTAAACGGCCCCTTGGCACGGAAATCCGCCCCGGGTGCCCCCATGGCGGCGGGTATTGCCCGAGTCTGGGCTTTGCTTTTTCGGTTACACCGCGCCGAGCCGACAGAACTAAGCACGCCGACACTAGGCCTCGTATCCCGGCGCAGAAGCTGCTTTTCGTCGGCGTCATCGTCGCAAATCTCGCCGTCTTCCAGCTCCCCTTCCTCCTTCGGCGACCCGCCACTGGCACTGGTCTCCATTATCAGCGACAATCGTCGGGCAGCAGTCGTCGGATGGCTTAGAGGCGGACTCGGCTTGGCAAGCCCGGCTGCCTTACTGCTTTTCTTCGTATGGGGATTCCCCTCCCTTGTCCTACCCAGAAACTTCGGTTGCGTCTGTGAAATATCGCGAGACTTCGCCGTTCCTCAGCGTTAACTCTCGGCAGGGGGAAGGGGGGCTCTTTCCACTGGAATGCATAGGACGAAAGTTCATGATGTTTAAAGTGATTAATGTGATTGTTACTGTTGTTTTATTACTATTAGTAGTAAGTAATAGTACAATAAATGCAGTAGGTTTAATATATTACTAATACAAATCCTGTCATTTTCCCCTTATTATAATAATAATATATTACTTATATGCCACGTATGCTTTATAATATGTTTGGCCTTGTTTATTACGTACTGGGGTAGCGTGTAGCTCAGTGGGCTAAGCCTGTGTGCTTGTAATCACAAGGTCGCTGGTTTAAACCCAGATAATTGTATCTTGACTAAGACCGTGAGAAAATACGAAAAAGAAAAGTCTTTGTGCTTCCACCCATGATAGATATATTTTTTATTTGATCGGGTTGATGTTATTGTTATTATTTTTATTTTTTTAATAACTGGATTGCTATGGACTGGGGGGGCAATATGATACGCTTTCACTGGGCCCAAAATCTCTAGCAACGGCCGTGACTCTAATAATATTTGTAATATTTAATATTATAATGTGACTGGTATTATTTGGAATAATAGAGATTGTAAATATTAAGTTTCTTTGGCTTCATAAGAATTTAATCATTTTTTTAACTATGCAAAAGGCAAATCAGATCTGGTGATACTATATGATGCGACCTGTGCTGTACCTTTAAGGGGAATCGAGCGGCGGAAGTCGGTCGCTTTTTTGCACTTACGGTACTTCCTTCTAGAGCACAGTCAACTGCGATCTGCCGTGCAGGGCGTATGGAAAATAGATATTGTAATAAAATAATGCGAGTTCTGGGGTGCCTGGCTAATGGTTCTTACATTTGCTCGCCGTGTTCACAAACAAATTGTGTTAAGGGTGACTGGCGATCGTAATGCAGCAAGTGAGAGGCAAAAATCGTCATGGCTACAGCGATTGCAGGTACGTTTTGAGAATATTTCAAGAATTGCTTGAGTTAATAATACACTTAGTGTTACACATTCAGATAATTTTTGTATGAATACGTTGTTTTGCTCTAACATTTAAACATGCTGGTTTCACACTAATAATCAAGAACAAGTTATTAAACTTCTGATCTGAGTTTACTGTTTTATAATATGTCTAGGACAAGCGGGGTAAAGAAAATGGATGGATGTACTTTATATAGATATTGCAATACGTATTTGTTGTACATTTGTAGGATGTAGTTATAATTAATGACATTTTTGGTTAGTAGGTCATATTCTGTTCAGACTTTGCAACGTGAGTGTTTGGTCAAAAATTACACAGCTTTTAGCTGTTTGAATTGAACGCAATACTTAAGTCCTACACCCTGTGTCATGTTATTATGTAAAATATGAATTACGAGATCATTCAAAAATGAATGAGTGGATATTAGTGATATTAGTGATCATGGCACTTAATTTTTCATTAAGTACAAATAAGTGGTCAAAATCATGCCACATGTTAAGCAATATTGAGAGCTATTCATGATTTACCAAAATACTCAATTTTTCCACTGTGCTGCGCTTTTATGCAAATCTGTTTAATAATGAAAACACTAGTTTTAGGAAAGTTGTTCTCTTGTTGTTACAGAAACAGGAATTTGTAGCAATGTTTACGTCTGTTAATTATTAATCTATAGCATTGCTATATGCAAATCATTACAACACATTTGTTATCGTAAATGCCCCTAGATAAAGAGTAAATAAGACTCCTCCTCAGATGTGACAAAGATGAGTCTTTGATCCATTGACTTGGTTAGATTCTGGATTTCTGCGAGTAAAATGCTTCTTGCAGATTTTGAAATGGCACCTCACAGTTCATCGTTTGAATAAACCCGACATCCAGAACCATAAATCTGTTGCTTGGTGATGCTTCATAGGTTCCCAATGGGATTCAAATGGGGCGAAGATGCTGGCCACTCCATCAGATGGTCATTTTTGAAGCCCAGTTTCATCAAGTACTCCTCTGACTTCCTGGCAGCATGTGGTGGAACTTTGTCATGCATGAACATCATTCTTCACCCTAATGCCCCTGGCTTATTGTTGTACAACAAAGTTGTTTTTCTTAAATTTAATGTAAGCGCTTTCAGTCAAACTTCCACATTCAAGAACTTGCCAATGACTAATCAGCTCACCACCACTTATCTGTGCCCAAGACGTCACACCATCTCCTCCTTGCTGACGTCTCAGGCTGAGAGGAGGAGATCTGTTATTTTTGACCTAACCGTCCATAGAAAACTGATCAGTGAACAGCAAGGCTTCGCAATTTTTTGGGGCCACTCCAGACACCTCATTTTATGGCTGTCTTTCAACGAAGATAGAAGATCTGGCCTTCCTTATTTTTCCAAGGTGGTGGAGTATCCTGTGGGTGGTTGATCTCGATACATTTTTGAAACAGCCTGGTCAGACATGTCTTTGCTTTTTTGTTAGCACTCACTTAACAAGGAAGAGTTTGCATGGTGAAATAGCAACTTTGTTAACAAATTTACACAACTTGCTTGATACCGTGGTTCAACACAGTTTTGGGGGAAAAGCACAAAGCTTTTATAGGTGTGGTAATCAGTGAAACTCACACAGATGATGTGGGTCACATTAAATTCCTTGCAATGTTAGACTCGCTATGTGGGAAGGTATCATGAAAGAACTCTAATACACCCTTTTTACCTTCATGAGTAGTATATCGAATATATCTGTACGTTGTCCTAATCGCAGAAATGGATGTGTTACAGGTACGTTTATTGTCATCAGTAACGAATTTTGAGAAAGAGACATTGGAGAAAGACTACTTCAAGATGATGACGGACATGATCGTGCTGTGCTTGGTTCTGGCTGTCTCCTTGGCTCTCTGGGTCGTTTCTATGACAGCCAGCACATATTATGGTGAGCTCTGCTCCAGAAGCACGTCTGATTGGTACTGCCATTCATCTGTTCTTGATGCTGCTGCTTCATAATAGTAACGTGAAAAATAACATAACACATTTTTCTCTGCAAAGCTGCAGGCATAAGTGATGAGAGTCATTTTTCTTTAGCTTTTAGCTTATGCTTGCAAGCTGCTGATGGTGTCCCCGTGACCTTGCAAGCCACTGATGGTGTCCCTGTCACCTTTCAAGCTGCTGATGGTGTCCCCGTCACCTTTCAAGCCACTGATGGTGTCCCTGTCACCTTGCAGGCACGCTGCAGCCGGTGTCCCCCTGGCGCTGGTTGTTTTCCATGCTGGTCCCTATTATTCTTGTCACACGTGCCGTCAAGCGGAAAAGCCTCGACCACAGTGGTGCGTTAGGAGGTAAGGAGTCAATACTTGATTTAATACTAATAAAATTGCTACAGAAATCTGATCTAATGAACATGAGGTTTAACAGTCATCATGCTTATATGAAATAGGCCGACTCCACAACATTGTAACAATGAACTGGCTGTTTCATGTTATGCATTGAGATGAGTTATGTATTTTATTTGTTGGGGTAATATTACAATGCCAGTTACAAATTCTGCTATTAGCATCATTTGAGCCATTCTAGATAAAATGCGTAATTATAATGAAATGTATGTCTTACTGTTAAAAACTTATGGGAATTATATTTTGTTTGTTTATTATTATTATTCTCATCATCATCAATAATACACAATTATTATTATTATAAGTGTAAGTGGTGTTGGAGCAAGAACTATGCAATGCACTTCCCACATAACAAGATGCTAACGGAACTTTTTAATTCAAAGATAATATGCAAGGCTAAGACCATTCGTGGTACATAAGAGACCAGCATGGGAAGATAGGCTGGTGTAGGCTAGTTGGGGTGTTCCCAGGTTCCCAGAACAGATGATTCTAGAGCTGGTTCTTGAAGGCTGATGACTGGATGTGGTTTGGCAGCTCATTCCACTATCAGGGAACCACACTTGAGAAACATCTAGAGTATGACTTCAGACGTGGCAGAGCACTGTCACTTTAATGGCCCTGAAGGCCAGCACCAAGAACTCGAACTTGATGCCAGCACCAATAGAGAGCCAGTGAAGAGCGACAAGGAGGGGTGTAACATGAGAGAATTTAGGCTGATTGAATACCAGACATTCTGCTACATTTCCAGTCATCTACAGTGGGTTTGCAGCACTGGCTGGCAGTCCTGTCAGCAAAGAGCAGCCATGGTGTAGATGCCAGCTGATAGCCTGGGGCTAATGCTGTGATTAAATTATTTAATGACTGTCTTTCGCTACGTTAATAGGCCACACAACATTGTGATGACTTTAGCTTGAGGTAGGTCGACCTTATTCCCAAAACAAGATGGCACTTCTTGTTGTCACTTTCATTGAAAGTTCTGCTTTGCTTTTGAGAACAGAAGGGTGCCATCCTTTCAAATTATCCCACAAATTTGTTGGGTCGTCTGAAAAGCTTTTTCTCTGGTCCCCAGACTTGTCAAAATATTTCTACACTTAAGAAGCCATTATATAGCCAGTATGCATTGAAACTCAAAATAGTCACTATACAGGCATGTTTATTTAGTAAAACTATGACTGAGGCTTTCAGGTAACGGGTTGCTGCTTAGGAGGCTTATGTCTGTTCTGAAAACCATGACTGTGGCTTATGGATATCACACGCGGTATTGATAATTATACATAAGTGGTTCCAGCCCTAATATCTGAGCCATCTGTGGTAGTCAGAATTTATGTAATGGCCCAGAATGTTTTAGTTTAAGTGGTGCATCACAAAGGACAGCTGGACTTGATTCTCTAGGCTTGTTCTGACTTGGATTTGGACTTTTACCACTAGAGGGAGCTAAAGCTTACTTTTTCCTGAAGTGAACTACTTGAGGTGGACATTAATACATAAGAGTATTGAGTTTAGCTGTGTATCCTATTGGCATTGAAAAGTATACATTTTTCTTTATTGATTACTACTTTGTAGCAATGCTGGTTGGATTCCTTCTAACGATGGCCAACTTGAGTTTCTTCTCCTCCTTGCTGGCATTTTTCATAACATCCTCGAAACTCACCAGATGGCGGCAAGATGTTAAAAAGCGCATCGATTCCGAATATAAGGAAGGTAAGACATCTGATTTTACATGCAGCATCCACAGACCTTAGGATGTTGTTTCTTTTTTACATCAAAATACTGAATTTAATCATCCTTCCAGCTTACTGTAAAAATTCGTCAGATCAAAAAAAAAAAAACACTGCTGTTATAAAAGTGCTTTTTAAGCAGCATCTACCAGCAGCAAATCTGTATATCTGAAAACATAGCTTGCTGTGTGTATTAGGCGGTGGGGAGTGAGATGGATGAGAGCAGAGACAGGGGTACCTCCACCGCTGCACAACTATGTATGGAGGTCTCAGAATGGAGAGTCAGGCTGGCTGTTGTGGCTTCTTCCAGGTGGCCAGAGGAATTGGATACAGGTGTTCTGCAATGGGGGCATGCCTGCCGAGCTGGCCCTGCTCTACATGATCGAGGTGGGCCCTGGGGAGATACCGATAGACTTTGGCAAGCAGTATACCGCCAGTTGGATGTGCCTCGCCCTGCTGGGGGCGCTGTCCTGCAGTGCAGGAGACACCTGGGCCTCAGAGGTGGGGCCCGTTCTCAGCAGAAACTCCCCCAGACTCATCACCTCCTGGAAGGTGGTCCCGCCAGGTAGGGTTTCTCTCCCCACGGCTGGTTTCCACAGGGTCCTTGTGTCAGAAGGGTTTCTCTCCCCACGGCTGGTTTCCACAGGGTCCTTGTGTCAGTAGGGTTTCTCTCCCCACAAGGTCCTCAGTAGAGTTTCTTTGTGCCTTTCCAGCCATCGATTCACAGCTATCTGGGCCTAGAACCTACCCCAGGCAACATGGGATACAAGACAGGGGCTCACAGTAATTTTATTTAATTAAGCTGCTTAGCAGATACTTCATGTGTAAAATGGGTTGTAGTTTTTTTCCCAAAATGTTATTTAGTATATATTTGGTCATTTTTCATGCCTGTTATGTTTTAATTTTTGTGGTAATAACTTTAGAATTTAGTGATCAGTCGTCGTTGACACACTACAGCACACAGTGCACAACAACAAAATGTGTCTTTTGCATTTAATCCATATGTGACATAGCAGAGGGTAGCTAATTCAGTACAGTACAACAGTACAGTACTGTAACAGTACAATTTATACCTACATAAACTTTACATTTAAAATGAACTAAATAAATGTAAAATTAAATACATTTATAATTAACTAAAAATGTATGCATTGGTGTTGATTTTAGTGTTATATTCAGGAAGAGCTCTATATTTTACGTTTTTGAAAACTCAGTGACAGTGAATTTTAAAAGTATCCATGGGATTGTGTGATTTTACCAAAAAGTTACTTGTTAATGGAAATTACTCTATGGAAAATGGCACTAACCATAACATAAGTTCTATTTTTTTCTTTGCCACAGGTACAAATGGAGGAGTCACCCCTGTAGGCCTAGTGGCAAGCCTTCTGGGTGGGATGACAGTGGGTGTGGCTTACTTCATCTCGCAGATCTTATTCGCTAGGGATTTGAATCTGGCTGCCCCTCAGTGGCCAATCATTGTGTTTGGGGCTGCAGCTGGGCTGACTGGATCACTTCTGGATTCTTTCCTTGGAGCCAGCATGCAGTACTCAGGTGGGCTTTGTAAAGGCTTCTAATGTCCTCTGTACAGGACTAGCAATGTGACATTGCTGGAATTAAGTCACAGCAGTCAGGAAGTCCACTATAATTTTTGCAGTTTGTGTATATTTGTTTAACAATTTTAAGGCTTGGCTTTGACTGAAGGACAAAGTGGTAGGACAGGGGTGGGGGACTTGTTTCACAGGGAGCCAATGTGGGTGCAGGTTTTTGGAATGACCTCTCAGTCAGCCAATAACAGTGGGTCCCTAGGACTGGAGTTGAGAACCACTGCTTTATTATTGGCTGATTGAGAGGTCATCCAAAAAACCCGCACCCACACCAGCCCTCCATGGAGCAGGTTCCCCACCCCTGCTTTAGGAGAATTCATTGGGATGAATAGACTTCAGACCACTCTAAATTGATTGTCCCTTTGTCTCATTGCTGGTTATAGTCAGCTGAACAGGAACAGTCATTATGTCATACAAGTTGACAAAGGTAACCAGGCAAGGTATATGTATAGTATGTGAGAGGCCAGTGTAAGTAAATACTACTATTATAATATGCTGACTTATGCCTGGAAGAAACACATGTGTTGTTCACAAGAATAGTGACAACTGGTGAACAGACACGTATGTCTTCCTGAGTGTGTGTGTTTCTTTCAGGTTATGATGAAAGCACTGGAAAGGTTGTGAACCATGAGTCTAGGACTGCTAAACACATCTGTGGAAAACCCATTCTGGACAACAATGCTGTGAATCTGTTCTCTTCCATCCTCATTGCCTTGGTTATGCCTGGCATCGCATGGGGCATCTGGCCTAGACAATAAAAACTTAAGCAACCAATGGATGGTCAAAAATCAGTTTCCATAGAATATAGAGGTGCTGTATTGAAACCTTTTCTTCTGTGAGAAGATTTGTGCAGTATTCTCTTTTCAAGTCTTACTATTGTATATTGAACCTGGAAAGAGTGACTTAGTCTAAAACTGAAAAGCAGAATTTTTTTTTTTTATTCTGCTGTTTTCTGCATTGTCTTATGTCAAAAGAAGGCTTGTCAAATGGATCCATGACCTCATTGATTCATCTGATTACTGCATAGTAATATTTACATTACCTTATGATAAATAAATCACCAGCACTTTGTTAATATTGTATTAAGTTTGTTTAATGGAAGTAATATATTTATATACTGGTGTTTGTAATGTTTCCTAAAAGAATGTGAATGGACAGGTAGAGTGTTGGTGGTCTAGTGGTTAGGACGCTTGCCTCTGGACCAAGAGATGGTGGAGTTCCACCTCTGGCTCTACCATCGTTGAGTCCCTGAGCAAGACCCTTAACTCTAACTTGCTCCAGGGAGAGTGTCTGCTAAATGCTGTAAATGTAAATGGATACACCTCTGTTTACTAATATATTTGCATACTAGTGCTTTCCAGGACTTAACCACCATGCTGATCTTCATTATTCAATATGTGCATAAATCATAAGTTTTATATTCTGGTCATTTTGTGAAGCAAACAATGTAACTTTATTTTCAGTTCAATGTGTCCCCATCACCCTGAACAGAGTAAGGGATTGGAAGACAGATGGATTTGTCTGAGTTGGTACTGTTAACATTTTTAGTAAATCTTTGTTGTTGAAAATAACTATACAAAACATATAGTTACTTTAACAATTTTAGTGGAATTAATCCATTTCCATGTGATATGAAGTCAGTAAACACACAGCTTACTGTATCTTGTATAGTCATTTGTTAGCCAAAAAGTTACCGTAATACCATACTTTCAGTAAGTGAAATGGAAAATATTACCGTGTAACGAAAAGTATATTAAAATAGCACTTTTGGCATACTACCCCTTACCCTGTCTTGATCTTTAAGTAATTGCCTTCCTTTCAACACCATTTACTGGCTGATTGTGCAATGCTTTAGTTCCAGCATCAGAGACTGTAACATGAGTGGGTGGACGTTGGACCCTGCGGATAACGTGTCCTTCTGAAAAGTAGGCGGAAGCTCAAGGTCGGCTGTTAAAATTCCTCAATGTGGGGTTGTTGCTCTCTGCCTGGTAATGGAAACTTTTACATAGAATCACAAAATCCGTTACTCGCTCTGATTTATTTGCTGCCCACAACTATACCAGTGGCAGAATGACCGTAGTTCAAAATGTGTAGCGTTATAAATAAATAGATTTAATCAATATATTTCGTTTTTGTTTTCATAACTGACCCGCTGAACTTGCTCTACTGCTGCTGCAAACCATTCATTAATACGTTTTACTTATTCATGTTCATTCAAACGTATACATCTGCACGCATCTTTTTGGTCAACGAGCGACACGGTGATCCGTTTGTAAAATTCTCCCTTGAATAGGTGAAATAAAGCACACAATTCAGCCGCCATTTTTACAATTCTTGTGAACTTCTTAAAAGCACGCTAGTCGTCCAGTTAATTGTATTCAAAGTATTTCGTCTGTTCAGACAAGCCAGCTTAACCCGTTTGACCCGAAAACTACCGAAAGGTCCCTAAAGCCCTGCGGCTCCAGCCAATCATTTTATCGCGTTTGAAATACGGCTCACGCCGAGGCTGCAGCCAATCAGATCCTGCTATTTTAAACACGTCACACGGCGCCACCTTCGAAATGCTTTGTTGATAGACAGAAGGCGCAATGCTGTTAAACAGATGAGACGAGAGAGATTTAGCAGTACAAGTGAATAAGTTGCAGAATTACTACTCGACGGTAAGGTATGGTTTTGATGTATACTATCATTATCATTATGCTATCATTATTATAGATAAGTATGGTGAAGTCCAGTTAAATATAAATGATGCAAAAAGCTAAATTATAATTAATGAATATACGTTGTATTTTCCGGTTGGTTGGCAATATGATGGCAAAGAGAATGTAACCGAATCATTTATTTCTAAATCGGTGTCACACACTTTGGAGGGATGCTATACATTTACTAGATCTTTTTCAGAATAATAAGTTGCAGTACAATCCGTAACAGCACGGTGACACGGCTCGTTCCGTTGACCTTTTTCCGGAACGATGTCATTTCGGTTTGTTATTTGTATTCCTGAACGAATCGTGGTTTGTCAGTTTCTATTAAAGTTGATCCAGCTTCTGTAGCTTGTGGAGAAGATGCAGAGAGTAGCATGTCCACTAGGTGGCCATTCAGAAAATGTTTACTTACTGTTGAATGCTACTATTTCTTAGTTGAGAGATTTTCCATTTTTAACTTTCCTTCAGATATTCAGTTTAATTATCTTGACCAGGCTTACAACGACAGTGCTCCAATGTGGCTAATGCATGTGTGGTGAACAAAACGTTCTGTCTACTCTGCGATGTTTGTGGTGGCACGTGGGGTCGTTTAAGAGGATTCTTGTAAGAGAAATCAAATTATTCCTTGTTAACAGAAAATGAATTCGGGAAAAGCACTACAGACAGCTGCTCACCCGAACCAGCAGCCACCAACGCCAAGCTTTGCGAAGAGAAAGAAGGCACAAGAAACGTAAGTCTTGAGTGAGTAATCAAGGGTGCGGTGTGTCTATGTGCCTGCCGTGCTATAGTGTATCACAGTAATCTAAAGGTGAGGTCATCTGGTAACAGGTCCTCAACTGACAACACACTTGGTATGTTTAACGGGACAAGTTCTGTCTCTAATTAAAAAAGCATGTGTGGATGTGTTCTGTTCAAATGCTGTGTGTGCACGGTATATATTTGGCTTGACCCCTTTTGTGTTCCTTCGTACCCAGAACAGACATCAGAAGTCCGACAGACAGCATGATGTCTCCATGTACACGCAGACTAATGAAGAAAGTGACTAAGGACGTGTAAGAACGAAGCCACAAACAGTCCTCTTAACAGTCCTACCTAACATGGAAATAAAGAAAACTTCTCTTTAATGATACTATTCTTTTGGTTGTCCTGTATTACCTTAGTAAAAATTGAGTAATTTGTAAGTTTTGAAGCTAGCTACCAATGTTTACAGCAGCATAACAATCAGTACAAACGGACAAACAAGCTACACCTATCGAAATGCCAAAATATGATTTTTTTTCTTGATTTTTCTCCTCTAGGCAATCTTTACCACCTGTGCCTGTGTTTACTGCAGAAGACAAGGAAAACACTCCCTCATGAATATCTTGCATCTAATGAATGGATGTCTCAATATTTAACCCGCTTGCATTTTGCTCTTGATGTGTGAAATTGCTGGTAGTCTCGGGTGCATCAAACTAGTTTGGTATAGACACAAAAGGCTCTGGCTGTTTGTTTCAGAATCCTTAATCCACACTGATAGTTATCCAGTGTTCTGTGCTTTGTAGTTATGACTCATATCTGCATATGGCTTGGAATGGTGCACAGCCAAAAGGCCTGGTGCCAAATGTCATTAAGCGTTGAACCCCTTATATAATTTAACCGCTGCTTATCGCATCAGGTAAAATTCTGATGGTACCTATGCTTCTGCTGTAACTGGTGATTGATTAATAATCAAAGGAAAATTACGGTGTTAGTGCTTTTAGCAGTCTTTGGTGTTATCTGATTGGAGCGTGAAATGTCGTATGGGTTGTTGGTACTATGTAGGCCCCTTTGATCTAAAGGCACTTAAATGGGCTTTTGGGGGCTGTTGTTCTGTTGGGAGGGGGGCAGCTGGAAAGCCTAGTTAGTGTTAAGGGAGTTTTTCTGCATTGCAAACTGCATTTCTGAGACTGAATGCTACCCAACTAATGTTCAATTTGCACACTGTTAAACTGCCTATGTATGATTTTGCCACACACTATATCCTTTCCTAAGGAAAATAAAGTTAATATATTTATTAGCAACTTGGGATAATCATTTTGTCCACTTAATGTGCAGCTTTGGTGTACTATAACAAGCTTGACTCTTGATTTTACTCTACTGCCCAAAGAAATTGTAAATATCTCTTACTGGCTGGATTGTTGTAATAAAACTGTTCAACGGATGCTGTCTTTATTTACCAAAAAAACACTGAAATAATGAAAAAGTAAACCTGTATAGAATGCGGAAAACAATAGAATTTACTACTGTTTGGCAAAATACTGCATAATATGACAAAATTACGAAGACAACTAAAGATGAATTACACATTGCATTATAAAAACGCTGATACCATAAAAATTTGTGTATATACAAACGCAAGACATAAATCGTGCTTTTGCTATTCAGTGCTATTCAAATACGCTAAAAATATTTTTACACTCGACTGAATCTGCGTCTTCTCAAAAGTCCAAAGAAAATCCAGTGTTTTGGAATTTTAAATACATTTTTATGTCATTTTGATGAACCTTTACGTTTTTAAAACGGACGTTTGGGTTCTATAATTTCATTTCTGTGTACGCAGAGGTATTAAAAGCTACATTAACACACTTAGAGTTTACAGTACGTTCAACGTACCTTAAGCCGAGATTTTAACCCTAGTATTTTTTATTTTAGTAATTTGTTCCCGTTCGTATTATTGTGTTACACATATAGTTTTTGTCGATGACGAAAATGTACCCCAACCACATTTTACTAAAGTGCAATAACAATAAAGTTTTGTATTATATGTTGTATAACTTCATATAAAAATATCGATCAACTGCCCGTTTTGATTGTTTTTCTTAGCACTGGACCTGCTATTTCCGCCCGTATAAGAAAAATAAAGCCCCTCCTCGCCCCGACCGCGTCGATCACATGACCCACGGCCGGCGTGACGTCGAGGGAGAAGACGCCATTAGACAGGTTGACAAACTGGGAAGAGCCGATCGCTAATGTGGCGCTAGCTTAGCTACTTTCCCTTCTCTGTTGGATAAAGTGACGGAGTTCGGATCTTCGTTCTTCTAGTTTCTCCCGCCACGTATTTCCTCCCCTACTCGCTCATTTTTATTCTCCCTTCGCCGGCTGTGTCCGATGTGAGTCGCCAGTCCGCGGCTGTGCTGGGTTACACTCTCGCTCCCGACCGAGGAAGGATCAGACGATGGCGGCTGGCGGAGCGGGGGGCGGCGGCAAGACCTACTCCTTCAAGGTGGTTCTGCTGGGGGAGGGATGCGTCGGGAAGACGTCGCTGGTGCTGCGCTACTGCGAGAATAAGTTCAACGACAAGCACATCACCACGCTGCAGGTCGGTGTGCGGCGCTTTTCCCTGCGATATCGCGGCTTTAAAGCGCTGTTTATGAAGACGCTCCCCCTCCATACTGCCGTCAGTCGCGGTGGTCCTGCCTTTCAGCCGTGGCGGCGAAGCGCCTGCTAACACCTCTTTTAGCTCGCTAAATATATATGTGTGTGTGTATTTACATTATTTGTCTGTTTGTATAATACACATGTACGTATTCCGCATATCCGTATTATATGTGTATCATGTATATACACAGTGAGCATTCAGGTGTGTGTACGTACATGTCTGCTGTCGCGTGCGTGTCTGCATGCGCGTGCCCGTCGCGTGATTTAATGGTCACCCGTGGATCATATATAATCAAAGCAAAGGGTGTATCTTCTGTTCATCGGCTGCCAACTTCCAGCCTCTGTGTTCGTGAGCTCGGCCTTCCTGCTTTGGCCTTTGATCAAAACAATAATACTTTTGTTCTTAGTGTTTTTAAACTTTAAGGGCGTTTTAAAACTTCAGGGCTCGGTTATTTGATGTGCTGGGCTTTTTCGTAAAAGCGGTGCTACCGAATCTCGACGCCAAAACACGGAAAGGGTCGGAGAAAGAGACCCGGAACCGTCCGAGCCGGAGGTGTGGCGTAGTAAAGCGCCGAGCCGCCCTGGCGTCCTCCCCCAGCGGAGCTGTCACTCCCCGGTTGCCTCCCCATTACCCGGAGCTGCATGATTAGGCAAAAACGGTTTTTTGCTAGTACTTTGTCGGTTACTGCCTGCCGATGTAGGATTGCATCAGGATACCGGATTATATTAATGCCTTTCGCCTGCTGTTCATGTTTCCAGCAACCTGTTGAATCTGCTGTCAATACAGGCATAAAATCCCGCAGGAAAATGCGAAATTATAACCGTGACACTTATTTCACTAGCCTTTGTTTAGAGGTGGATGGATATCACTCCGATTCCAAGATATCCACAAAATGCGCATGTATGGTTTGGGTTTGAGTTTTGGCTCTTTATAGGATTTCGCGAGAATTTCACCTTTTCGGGCCGCTTATTGCTTTTTTTCTTTTGTTCTGCTTAACTCTGTCTCATCTGATAGCCTGCTATTAACTGAATTGGTTAGATAATACAAGTCAGATAACATTGTCTTATATCCGTGTTATCTAAATAACTGGAGGATAGGTTGGATAATAAGATGAGTGTCTTTCTAATTAGCAGACTGTCAGCTTGTGTTTGAACCTCATTTACATGTCATCTGTATTTTGATGGGACACAGTGACTGTGTGATATTGTTCTAACAGCACTTGAGAACTGCCTGCGCATTATTTATTTTTACTGCTCAGATTGTGCTCTCTGCAGTTCATTAACGGTCCCTCTGTGTGAAGTCTCATGATTGTTTGGAAATATAGCCTACTCCAACCCCCCCCCCCCTTCCCACCTTCCTAGAGATTTTGCAACTGAACGGTATTTGTAAGTTGACACCACCATGGAGTGATTGTGAAAGTGTCTAGCTGCCAGTTGCCACCTGTACAAGCCGTGCTTCTGCTTTCATGCTTGTAAGGTTCCTTTTCCTCTCTGTTTTAGCATTGTGCCCCCCACCCCGCCCGCTTGGTGTTTGGCCCGGGCTGAATCTCCATTCACGGACAGTGGCGCTCAGTATTGCGCTGACACTGTTTCGCTGCCGGGCCCCGCTCCTGTTGGGGAACGTGGGTGAGCTTCCAGGAAGAGTTGTGGTGTTGCATCATTCCTTTAGAGCTCTGGCCTGGAACTTTCCGAGTGCCTCCTGCCTCTTTTGGGCTCCATTTACACGAGGCCGTTGGCTTTGTTATTTCGATTAGGCCTCTGTGAGAGGTGTTATTCTGTCCAGCTTAAGCATGTAATTAATATGAAGATCATGGGGAACCTGTCACATTTAGTAACATTGATTGGTAAAAAAAAAAAAAACATGGAAAAAAACTTCCTGGTTGTCAAGAATAACATTGTGAATTAAACGGGGGAAAAATGGGGAAACAAAATAATTATTGATTTGCTAATGCACTGCAGGATTGCAAAGAACAGACCTGGAACAGTGTTTGAAGGCCTGTATGAATTTCCACTTGCTTTGGTAATCGCATCTATAAGTGGTTAGCTTGTCTTAGCGGTGACAGTGCCTTAAGGGCACAATGCTTTGCATTGTTTTACGTTACACTTGAGCAGACCTAATTCGCCAGGGCTTACGGCCGCATTTCCTTGTTTTAAAGGGGATTTGATGCAAATGTGAGTCTTTCCCGGTCTTTTCGTAGTGAGTCCTGTGTGACTCGCTTGGACTCCTTACATCCTAATTTGTTTTGACATCTTGGATGACTTAGAGCTCAATGTGTTTGCTTGTTAAAGCGTTCCATTATAAATGCCCCCCCTCACAAGAACTTGTTATACGAAGGACTTTAAAAAAAAAAAAATAAAAATCATCAGAGTAGCTAAGAATTTCTCATATTAGGAAAACGTAAGTTAAATGGAATTTCTGAACTGCCTTATAAAATGCGTTTTCCATCCTTTTCACATTCCCATAATACCTTGGCAGGATTTTTCTGCAGCGCCCCCCCCCCACCACATTTATTATTCCAGTTACTGCTTTTATGCTTCTCTTTGTTGATAGACTGGAGCGGTGGCAGTGGTGAGTGTTTGTGTTGCTTGGGAGGCCAGCAGGAAATGAAGGCAGCCTGTCATCTGACAGCTGGCTGCCTTTTCTGTGTCTTGTTTGCCCATTACAGTCAAGCCCTGCATTGTAACCTGACCCATCAGAAGGGGGGAGTGTTAGGTGGAGCTTCTGCGCATCATAAAAGGTTGAATTTCTCTGTGATTCCTGTCCGCTGGAGAATGTGACAGGTTGAAATGTAGAGGAAAGCGTGCATGTGATTCGGTGTTTTTATTAACTTATTGTTTTTGACAGTTTAGCAAATATTGGAAACCAGATGTTTAATTGCACAATGTGCATTTCCGCTGGGGGTTTGCATTCAGAACGGAAATCCTGCGCGCCCCTGTACTTGTTGGTACTTTTAGCAGATTTGTGAGTCGTCCCGTTTGCTGATTTGTGCTGCTATTGTCTGGTTAACCTTTGCAGTCTGTCTGAGGTTCTGAATGCAGCCTCTCACATTCTGTGATTGGCTGTGTCAACAAACTGGTTGCCGTAGAAATGTTTACACCACTTTCTTCTATGTGGGTTCTAGATTGTTTAGCCCTTTGATTTGAATGAATGATCAGGTAGCTACTTGTTTTAAAGTAGTTCCTTATACACTTTCTATCTTGGTTATTGCAGTGCAGTGACCAGGTTTATTCATAGCTTTTGCAGATTATTTTGGGTCTCTCACGTTTTTGGTCTTTCCTACCACCTAGGCAAAGACTGTCACACTTGGCAAGCTAGCTAGCCTGTTGAGCATTCTGGAGTTTTGAACATTGGGATATCTTGGCACATGTTGACCTGGTATCAGTTTTAAATTGCCACAACAGGTGTATACCTTGACGTCAATATGTGGGCCTAAGTGATGTAACTTTGTGCAACAGCAGTGGAAATAGTATGTCTCTCTTGATAGCGTTATTGTTTTGGAAAGTTTGGAATGATTGGACGGACCCATCTAAGGGTCTTAATAGGCATCTGACAGCTGCTTTTTGAAGAATTACCCTGCGGTGTGATGCCTAGGGAGTGGCAGTGGACCCTCCGATGTTAATTCAGATCAGAGCGAATGTAATTAATCAGTGTAGTTGCTGTGTGAAGTCCTGGGAGGGGCAGGCAGCCAAAGCAGTGTCTCATCACACTGTTACTGGGGTAGCAGTTATCAGGAACTGATCACAATGGAAGAAAGTCTTTACCAAGTGCCCTCTGATGGGGGTGTTGCGTGCGGATGCCCCCTACCCACATGACCAGTGCGATACGTGGAGCCTTTTCTGAATGTTTACCTCACCTTGCTGCTAAAATGGTCAAATTGTAACGGGAAGGAATACTAAAGGGCTGTGAGGTCATTCCACAGAATGTGTTTTGAATTAAATGAAGCTCATTCCTTTGGGAGGTGCCTGAATCAGGAAATGATCACACTGCCGGTTCAGTAACAGTAACACTTGTTCCAATTATTGGGTTTGGGATTAGTGATGCTTGGCTGCCGCTCATGGTATCGAACAAGTCATTCGAGTTGCTTAGTTCAAATTAATTATGTTGCCAATCTGTCTTGTCTCTGCTAGCCAGCTAACTAGGCCTCTTAGTTAGCTAGTTTTAGTTTTTCTGTTAATTTATGTTGTAAATCTATGTTGCATGTAGCACCTTGGTCCTGGAGGAACGTTGTTTCGTTTCACTGTGTACTACCTGTATATGGTTGAAGTGACAATAAAGCCTACTTGACTTGAACGTGCAGAAATTTCTGCTCGCGTGGTGTCCGCTGAACAGTCCTCGCCGGGCATTGTTCTTCGTGTGGCGTGTTAGCATTAGCATTCTCATCAATACCCAGCCAATCTGAGGTGGCCTCCAGCTATTGCCGCCTAACCAGATCACGGTGCAGTCAGTAGTGCTGAGAGGCACGGTGCACTTGCCGCCCTCCCAAGTGCACTCTCGATATCCCTAAAATCATGCTTTATCGATCGGCGCCGCTGCTCTGCCCATTAACTCTGCAGGAGTGGCCTTAAGACCATGATGGAGAGCATGCGAGTAAAAATAGACAGGAGAGAAGGAGTTTTATCAGCACTAGGCGTACCGATGCGTCCATGGGAGTTTGGACAGTATCGTATAATTGAGACTCTTATTGTGCATGTAACTCTTTGGTTGTTTTAAAGTTTTTCATTAACCTGCAAACAAATACTATTTTAACAATGTGTGAACAACTTCTTATCCTCATGGTTCTAGTTTCAGTCAACTTTAAAAATTTCTTTCAGCAAGGATCAAATGTTAAAGGTTGAAAATCTCATCTCTGTAATGTGGGTTTGTGGGTCTTAAAATGAATTCAAGTTTTTGAGATCTCACCTGCTCTGTCCGGCTCTGTTTGGTTGAACCTTCACAATCCAGGCAGGCACGTGACTTGGGTTATGTGCCCGATGAGTGAAACCAGGACATTCTGTGCTCTTTTATCATGGCACGAAATAGTGTGAACAGCAGCATTTGTCTTCTAGGCAGCTGTTTGAGAAGAGCATTTTATTAGGAGTTGGAGGGATCGTTTGTTGGATAGCGGAGGTTTAGGACAGTATGGAGTTATTCTTTGAAATGGCAAAATATTGTGTTATATAAGTTCAGGGCTTCCAAAAAATATATGCTACACCGATTAAAGTGACAGAGCAGAAATAATTTAGATATCTGTAGAAAGTTTATTGTAAAGTTGCATGCTTCTCCCTAATGGTAAATGGGTTTGATTTTAAGAAGATTAGGTTATATTCTGAAAGTATGTAAAAAATAATATATATATATATATATATATATATATATATTTAATAGTGCAGAATGACGGTGATTTGGGGTGTTGGGTTGTAGCTGCAATGGCTGTGATTAGGGCTGTCACGATCACATCACAATATAATCGTGAATATATGCTGCATGTGCATCATCACCAGGGCCTTAGATGATGGGTGAAACATGTCCGGAAGCTGGCTTTTCGGTAATATATGGATGCTTACTTACGGCCTCGGTTCGGTAAGTAGTTTAGTAGTGTGCCTATTGCCCAAGATGTTCATGAGATGCATATTGTGACGCTCAGAAGTGATCTGTATAAATAAGGCGTATCCTTATGTTTAAGAAACGTGTCTGACTTTAAACTGAAAAAAGTACCACCAACCAACCACCATCTTTTTACCTTGTTTATCCACAATATCTCCTCTTTCAAACGATGTTGTGGCTGCTGAGCTCTTCTTTTCTTCACCGCCACTTCAGTGCTTATCGCTCCCATGATTTACTAAAACAGTAGCATGTGGCACCCTCTGCTAACTGAATTTAATAAGCATAAGGATACGCCAAGTTTATACAGATCACTAACTTTTGGGTGTCCCAATATGCATCTCATTAATATGTGAGGCACAGTGCTACACTGCTGACCAAACTGTGGGCGTCAGTAAACGTCCATATATTACCGAAAAGCCGGTGTCCAGACATGTTTCACCCGTCATCTGAAGCCCTGGTGGTTATTGTGCATGCGCCATATAATCGCGATTATATCCTGATGTGATTGACAGCCCTAGTCCTAGCATATCGTTTAAGTGAGTTAAATGTAAAAGAAGCTGGTTTGGTAATATGTCTGTATCAAACAAGTTTGTGACCCTTGCTGCTGTTGGGCTGCTTCAGTATCTTCTGCTGATTCTCACTCTTGTGCCTTAAAAAGTCCCTTTGAGGACCCGCATTGTTGCAGCAAGTGATTTTCCAGGTACACAGAGGAAGGAATTTTCCAGTTGAGTCTGCAGCAGAACCTTCCGGAACTTGCTGTCGCTCCCCTGACGGCCTTCCTGGCCTTGGCTGTCTTGCAGAATCCCCAGCCGCCTCCCCGGTTTTCTGCGTGGAAAGCCGCCAGCGTGGGCCGCCTCCCGTTTCCCCATTTCCGTGATGCTCGCTGTTCCCGTTTGTTCACCTCGCCCCTCTCTGTGCCCTTTCCAGGCGTCCTTCTTGACAAAGAAGCTGAACATCGGAGGGAAGCGAGTGAACCTCGCCATATGGGTGAGCATCACGTCTCGAGCAAAACCGGGCCGCTGTGGTATTTATGCAAATAGGGTAGGTCACGTGACCTGGTCAGGCGAACTAGCCAACTCGCTGTGGAGTGACATTTCTTGAAAAAATAAAGAAAAAGTAGCAATGGCTCTATGAGTGACTGAGCATCTGTCTGGCTTCTGCAGCCATCTGACGGAGCCTGTGCTCCGGGGCCAGGTGCTGAGTCACCGCAGAAACAGGGGTGCAATTTAGGCCCACGGATGAGTCAAACTGAGAGCCTCTGGCTGCTTCTGTGGGTGTTCGCTCCCCCCACCAACTAGCAAATGACCCAATTAGACACAGCTTCAGGTCTCTGCTGGACTCACCAGATATGGAAATGGGGGGGGGGGAGGAGGAACAAATAGACATTTAAATGATCTGATTACAGATGTACGAGCTGTTACTAAAACCCATATCCAATATCTAAGTTTTATTTACCAGGCATTAGGCAAGTCAGCTGATGAACAGCTCAGAATTAGCCACTGTATGTGTAAATTGATGTAGATTTAAACTACACCTACATTGAAACTGAAGCCTTCCATGGCAGTTTCTGACAAACAAGTCATCCACATTGTACCTCCCATTCTGTTTTTAAAATAGGACACAGCAGGCCAGGAGAGGTTCCACGCTCTGGGGCCCATCTACTACAGAGACTCCAATGGAGCCATTTTAGTGTATGACATCACAGACGAGGATTCCTTTCAAAAGGTGGGCTTCCCCCAAATCCCGAATCCCAAATTGTCTAAAGTATGATGGAGTTGTAAAGTTTTAAACAATGCATTAAGTGTTCATTTTTTTAAATGGTTGTATAAAAGAAGCAGAAACATTTGTAATGTTTCTTTTTAGGTGAAAAACTGGGTAAAGGAGTTAAGAAAAATGTTGGGGAATGAAATCTCTTTATGTATAGTTGGTAAGTATGAGCCGCATTTTCTCCATCTGCCTCTGTGGTTGAGTGGATGAAATTCCATGTTTATAATGTGGCCCATTTCTCAGTCTGTACAAGAGGGCCCATCTCAGAGGCCCTAGGTTATCACAGGCTGAATAGATGCTGATGTGTATCAGTGTTGGGCACAGTGGAGACAGTCATGGGGCCAGATCATGTGTCGGGTCTCATTATATGATCAGATGAGTTTGGGGGGGTGGGGAGACATGTTGTTTTTGGGGGGGGGGGGTGGCGGCGTCTGCCCCATGATTTGGCAGAGAACACTAGAAGCAGCTGTGACCCAGGGGAGGGTGTTTATCTCTGAAAATGTTAGCGGTACAGTCTGGGGGGGGGGGGGGGTTTCCACAAAGCAATTTTTCTCAATTAGTTGGGTTAACTTAAGCTAGAAGTCATGATTGTCCAATAGGAATGCTCCTTACTTAATCTCTTATTGGACAAACATGACTTCTAGCTTTAGTTAACCCAGCTAACTGAGAAATCCTGCTTTGTGGGACACCCTCCTGATCAGTGTTTGGGAAGACCTCCTATCGACCCTCAAGCTGAAGGAAGCACTCATGGAGAAAAGTATCAGATGTTCCCATCCATTCATATACAGCGAATGGGTTGATTTTGGACGCCATAAACCCTATTGTGTTGCACATAAGAAAAGCTCAATTGCTGTAATGAATGTTTTTACTGATCGCATGATCTGAAATCAGCCCTAAATATAAAAACAAGCTTGGGGCTGTAAGACTGGCACAAATCCTGCACGCCACTCCTTCCCTATTGTGACACACTGACGAACAGTGTTTATGCTTCATCACCATGCCAAGTAGGCTTGCCGTCTTATTTAGAGAAATGCACGGTGACATTTGAACCTGCTGCTGATCTGGTAACCAGGGAGACTTTCCCACAACTTCTTTTTCTGTTTTTCTAAAGGTAATAAAATAGACTTGGAGAAGGAGAGGAATGTATCCATCCAAGAAGCAGAAGGGTACGTGCTGCCTACTGTGCCGTGCCTGCCTACTGTGCCGTGCCTGCCTACTGTGCCGTGCCTGCCTACTGTGCCGTGCCTGCCTACTGTGCCGTGCCTGCCCCCTGGTGCCGCTTCTTAGCTCTTTGGCGCTGCTGTTAGCTGTGGCAGATGGAATGAGACAACTAGGGGCATACAGAGGGGCGGGAACCCAGCTGAAAGCTGATTGGCCACTGGAGTGTGCCTTACTGTGTCACTCATCCGTTCAAAACATATCATTGGTTAATAATATGGTTTATAAATTTATATATAAAAAATCCTATAATCCTAAAGACAACCTTAGTGCCAGGGTGTTGCATAAACATGTGATTTAAGATGTCTCCTTGCACGGACTTTGGTCAGGTAATCCACCCAGTTTTTCTGCTTTTCAATGCAGGTATGCAGAGTCTGTTGGGGCGAAACACTATCACACGTCAGCTAAATTGAACAAAGGAATCGAAGAATTGTTTCTTGATCTCTGTAAAAGTAAGTAGACCCTGTTTTGGACCTTTCCCCCTTTTTAGTGCGTCCTGTATGATATCGTGTTACATCCACAGAGAATTTTCCCATGAGGGTAAAAATTAACAGACGGTTAAGGCTGATTATGCTGCTGGCAAGACAACGAAACAAGCTGTTGAAATTGGAGCATTTAGCTTAAAAATATCCAAAATGCTTGCTTTTACAGTTAACAAATGCAAGCAAGGCCGGCAATGGCAACAAATGTTTTCTGTGCAGTAGTTTGAAAGCCACACCCTGGAATGCTGTGAATATTTTGCTCTCTTTCCACAACAGTTTACATGCTGTGCTTTGTTTGGGTTGGTAAAATCTAAACCATAAACCGTCAACAGGAATGATGGAGACGGCACAGGCGGACGAACGGGCGAAAGGCAATGGTGCCAGTCAGGCGGCATCATCGCGGCGGGGGGTGCAGATCGTGGATGACGAGCCGCAGGCGGCCGCGGCTGGGGGGGGCGGATGCTGCTCTGGCTAGGCCCCGCCTCCTCCTCAGGACTGGACTCTCTGACTCTGTCACCCTCCCTCCACACCTTCCTTTTCACGAAGACTGCCATTCTCGACCTCTCGTCTGACCCCACCCCCTCCCACCAAATAACACGCTTAACCGTATTTCCCAGCGATGACATTTATAACACTGAAGAGACTTGTGAAACAAGTGCTGAATTCGCAGAGTGTGGCTGCCGGCGAGGAAGCTGTTTGTCGCTCTCACGGCTCGGTTAACAACCATTTGCCAGTGGTGTCTTGAAGCCCCGCCCCCGACCCCTCCCACTCCTCATGCACATACCCCTATTCTAATTCATAATTTTTATCCTTTGGATAATGCGCATGTAGAACTGTAAAAGCTTCATTTGGTTTACTTTTAAAGCATCTTTATTTAATAAGTTATGTGTGTGTTATTTGGATTCTCTCTTTTTTCCTCCCAAATTCATTCTTCTTTTTGGTGAATAGTGAAAGGTGTCCAAATTTTAAAAAAAATATCTGGCAGAAAATTCATCCTGTTTTTTTTGCACTGGCCCATCGCTATCAATGCTTTTGTTATACTGTATTTCTCGTTTGCCAAGATGTTATGTAAAACAAGCATTGTACAATACATATTAAATATTTTATCTGCTTTTACAAGCTTTGGGGGAAAAATACACAGGTAGAAATGTGTACACTAGTCTTGTTAATGACTGTAAAATCAAAATAACAATTGTCAGTGAAAGCACACTCTGGAATCGCATTTTTTATTGCCACTTTCATAAGTGCTTTACTGCGGAACAGTAATAATGATCAACGTTGCTTGAATTTTTCTCAATGTCCAAGGTGTGGGGGGGGGGGGGGAGTTCTAGTTTAAATGGTCACCCAGAAAAACAGGACCACCCTAGTGTGATATACTTACCTCTACTCAACTCATTTTAAAAATGGCTACTTCAAAAAAAACCTTGATCAAGCACTAATAATAATTTCTTTTTTCAGAAATATCTTAGGATAGGTCCTTCTTGCACCTTTATTGGGTGGGGTGGGGTGGGGTGGGGGGGGAGGGGGGCGCACTGGAATGCAGTCTTATGCTGCGAGATGGGTCTCCACTACACCAGGAATTTATCGTTAGAATAGGCATGCTATTGGTGCGTGTAAATTGTCGATGGTGTATTCTTGAATGTGAACATGTGTAGGAGTGTCCTGTTATGGACTGGCGTCCCGTCCGCGGTGTTCCACTGCCGGCGATCGGTTCTGGCCTGGCAGGGACCCACTGAGCATGCTCAGCTTCAGCCATATTGACATGGAGGTTCTTCGCTCTCCTGTAGGGGATATTAAGTCGAGACTTTTTAAACAACCAGCTTCACGTTCAGTTGACCTCAAATATCTTGCATAAACAAGCGGGTGAAAGTACGAACATCTTGAGATGGGGATAATTTTGGTTTATGTATTAGCTGCGATTCATTCTTAGACAGTAGATGATTAAACTTTGAGTTGAAGCTGATGCGAATGGTTTGAAGCATCCTGGAACCTGAGTGAAGCCATCCTGTATTCTGGCAGGTGTTTTATAACCTTACTGGAAACCACGTCACAGTTTGAGTTGCAAACCACACATTTCTGGCTAAAATATTGACAGTATTTCATGGTATGTAAATACTGTATGATCCTATAGTATATTCTGTAAATACGGGAGTCCAGCCCTTATTTCCATTGCAAATTGTTACCCTTTTGTTCAGTTATTAGGGTGTATTGATTATAGGTTTTAGGTTAGCAGATTATTGAACAGTGATGTTTAAAACAAGTCTCCTTTGTTTATATGATGACATGCTCTGGATTGTTCTGCATGCTGAGCTGTTCTCTTTTGAAGGATAAATTCAGACACTCTCTGACTGCAAGTCTACATTGCAGTACTTCTATATTTATCTTCCCAGTCTGCTTTTACTGATAGGTTCTTGGTCATTTTATTTATAACTATCATTGTCTGCTCATTTTATTTTCACTTCCTTTTTTATATCTTGTGGATCTCAAAATTCAAAAGGATGAGTGAAACAGATGGTCAGATAGCTTGTTATGTGTGTGGAGAAAAGATTGTTGCTATTTCATAGGCAGTAATGGAATAAAAATCTCACAATCCAGTTTTGATTTGTCAACTGTAATGTTTAGCAAAACGAAACACTTTAGTTCACATATACATCATTCTAATGGACTGTGTCTAGGTCTTTTTTTTAGTAACTTTTTCCATGTTTGACTTAGAGATACCTCAGTGTCGCTCTCCGTTCCCCAGTCACACAGTTGATAGACTGTCAGCTGAACATTCCGTGGCCAGGAATGGTGTGGAATGTAGTCTGAGGCTTCCTCCTGCGATGACCCCTGACCTTTGACCTCTGAACATCTGGTTGGGGGGGGGGAAAGGAGCAACCCATGAATTACGAGCTTTACTGGCACAGCTCAGCATGTGTGTCAGCAGACTGACATGCCCTTTGATATTTCCAAGAAACAGGCTGCGATCGCAAGGCTCCTCCAAGTAACGGCTGCCTACTGAGGTCTTAAGAAGAAAACGGCTGAAAGAGGAATACGCTTGTACCGCTGGGAATATTATTGTGTGCATATAACTATTGTCTTCATTTGATTTAATTGCTAGTTAAAGACTGACTTTCAGCAGCTTTTATTGTAAAGGGGTCTGGCAGGAATTCCTGTTTTCTTTGGAAAGACGTTACACACAGGTTACACACAGGGCTATTAATGACTCGGACATTTTCACAGGTGTGCTTTTTTTTCTTTCTTTTTTTCTAATGTTGCCATTTGTAATTTTAAACATTCAGCGTACTGCGGATCAAGCCACATTTGTGTAACCTTTTCATTATACACCGATCAGCCATAACATTAAAACTGCTGAAAGGTGAAGTAATTAACATTGCAACAACACCTTTTAAGGGTGCCATTACATATTAGGCAAGAGAAGAGTAAGTTCTTGAAACTGATGTGTTGGTAGCAGGAAAAATAGGCAAGTGTAAGGATCTGAGTGACTTCGACTAGGGCCAAATTGTGATGACTGGGTCACTGTCTCTTGTGGGGTTTGCCTGGTATGCAGTGGTCAGTACCTACCAAAAGTAGTCCAAGGAAGACCAAGCAGTGAACTGGTGATGGGGTCATGGGCGCCCAAAGCTCATTGATGCGAGTGGGGAGTGAAGGCTGGCCCATCTGGTCCTGTCTTACAGGAGAGTGATTGTAGCACAAATTGCTGAAAAAGGTTAATAATGGCTATGATAGAAAGGTGTCAGAACACACAGTACATTGCAGCCTTCTGCATGGGGCTGCATAGCTGCAGAGCGGTCAGACTGCCCATGCTGACCCCTGTCCACCACCAGAAACACCTACAATGGGTACATGAGTGTCGAAACTGGACCAGGGAGCAATAGAAGAAGGTGGCCTGGTCTGATGAGTGATGTTTTCTGTTACGACATGTGAATGGCCAGGTGCGTGTGTGTCATTCACCTGGGGAAGAGATGGCACCAGGATGCACTATGGGAAGAAGGCAAGCCGGCGGATGCAGTGTGATGTTCTAGGCAATGTTCTGCTGGGACACCATGGGTGCTGGCATTTATGTGGATGTTTCTGTGACATGTACCACCCGCCTAAATATTGTTGCAGACCAAGGACCCACCATCATGGCAACGGTATTCAGCGGTGATAGCAGTGGCCTCTTTCAGCAGGATAATATACCCAGCCACACCACAAACATTGCTGAGGAATGGTTTGAGGAACATGAAATATAATATAGTGTTGATTTAGCCTCCAGATTCCCAGGATCTCAATCCAATTGAGCACCTGTGGGATATGCTGGACAATCAAGTCCGATCCATAGAGGCCCTACCTCACGACTAACACAACTTAAAGGATCTGCTGCTAACGTCTTGGCGCCAGATACCACCTGACACCTCCGGAGGTCTTGTGGAGTCCAAGTCTAGATGGGCCAGAGCTGTTTTAGCAGCACGAGTGGGACCTACACAATATTAGGCAGGTGGTTTTAATGCTATGGCTGATAGGTGTATGTATACAAAGAGTGGAAAGTCTGCAAAGATGGGAGGATGTTCTTCAAACATGGGGACAATGTCCATGCAAACTCACCTTGTTAACCATTGTGTCAATGTGGGTTTAAAAAAGGCTGGGAAAGTATGAAAAGATCAGTAATGACATCATAAACTCTGCCCTTTCTGGCTGACTGAAATGATACAGAGTATGGAACTACTTTATCTTCATATAGTGTGAGGTTGTTGTGGGCCTGAAGCCTCACTGTGGGCACACAGCAGGGGATGCCTGGGATGGGGGTGCCAATTCCACGCAGGGGCAGGCCGAGGCTAGAACACCCGCCCAGGCCCGCAAACACAACCCTGGAGGTGTGAAGCACTGAGCCAGCATGCCCCCACCCCCCCATGACAGTTCAGGGTTCATGGTTCGATAAACTCACAGTATATTCAACAAAATAAGACTGAAAACAATGATCTCGCAGTTCTTATTTATTCTATTTTAGGCAGGTACTTTTACCAATAGATTTTCAAACCATTTTTTGCAGTTTTTTCCTTATTCTGTGGACTGTAGTGCAAAATAAAATTCAAAGCAAAACTGAGATCATGCCTATTGCGCCATCTTGCATTAATATGAATAAATGATTTCATGCCACGGTGCATTGTTGCTCCCCTAGTACATTTGCACACTCATGCAAACTTGTCGTTTCCACATGACTGAGACACACCTTCTACCATTACCTGTGTGTACATGTACAGATACTCTTGACGAGCAGTTTAACGACCACGTGGACTTAGGACCAGCACTTAGTATTGTGCCCTTTACAGTATGTAAACCTCAGTATTGTATATTCTGATTTCCTCTATTCTGTTTATTACAGTATACAATACACTACTGTATAACCATTTATAAATAAACTAAAAATGTTATAAAGGGTGCAAAGGTGACATTAAAATGGTATCTAAAGATGGTTGACCCAAACCTCTACCAGTACAGTATACTTGCAACAGCTCCTCGCTTATGGACCAGTTCGCTTAACGACCTGGTCATACGAACGGATCTTGGTCGTTAAGTGATTAGTGACTCCATATAAACTACACACTCACATCTCCTTAAGAATGTTTTACAGGAAAGTGTTCTGCTGCTGGTCAGTGGTAATACTTTTGCTTTACTCCATTTGCTAATTTTCCTTCATCCGGACTTTTCTCCAAGGAAGTCATATTTACAGCAGGTTCCAGGGGGACATCTTACCATCAGACGTGTTCATCTGCTCGCGTCTCTGTAAATACTGCACACTGTTTTAGCTCAAGGTCACATGGATAATGAATGAGTGATTTATTCACAAGATGAGAATGTGGGTGGTTATCTTGAGTCTTTGCCAAAAAGACAGACAGTGTGTTGTAGGTGTGTGTCATTTCTGCCCCCCCCACCCATGCCACGGGCACAGTGATTCATGACTTTCCTTGTTCCTCTTCATAGAAAAAGAAATTCTACATAATTTAAAACCCGACTGAGCTGAACAAATTGTGGAATAAGAAGGATTTTTCATAAAATATTCAGGGTAGCTGTGCAGCAAATGAAATATGAAATAAAAATTAGGTTTTACAATTAGATTTAAAAGACATTATCTTAACATAATCTTATCTTTGTACTTTATGAGAATGTTGTCTCACGCCTAACTGTCACTGAAATCTCAAATGCATGGCTGTCTTGGACATATTTCA